GCCGTAACAAACGTGCAGCGAAGGCGCCACTTCAGGGAAGAGGTTTTAATTTTCAGATGTCGTGGTTAAGCGACCCGGCCGAGAAAGCGTGGTGCCGTTCCCCGGCCGCCGGCGTTAACCGAAGGCAGACCCGTGGGGCGGGAAGGACGAAGCACGCAGCCCGCGCTACGGGAAACCGGGGCCGGCGTCTTTCAGGGCGAGAAAAGCCTGCAGGTTGCCGTCAAAACCCGGGGGCCTGGCCCGCGGCTGGCGGTAGGGCCCCGCCATGGCCGCCCCCAGGTAGGGGAGGAGGCGGCAGTGCTCCACGAACCGCGCCAGCTTCCTCTGGTACCGCTGCCGCGCCGGCTGCGAGCTCCGGGGGTTGTGCGCTGCGAGAAGGGAAGGAGTAGTTTAGTGTCCCCTCTTATCTTGGGGGGATTACGTCAGAGAAAGCGAAAAAGGGGTCAAGCCCACGCCCCATGTTTTCGTCCTTGGTGCCGTGGGCCGTGCCCGTCGATGCCAAAGCAACAAGTGGAGCCTGGTAACTCAGAAGTCCCTAACGCCACAAGGGTAGCCATGCTCGGAAAGGTGGAGGCTTTTGTAAGCAAAGAAAGAACAAAGCTACGCTCGGCTGCCTCAGCTTCCCGCTCCCCGGGGCCGTGAGGGGCCAGTGGTGCCACGGGCAGCGACGGACGGGGGTAACGGGGTGCACAGCCCGCACCAGTGGCCCGGCATGGCTGGCGATGGGGCTGTGGCGTCCTTGGCACGAGTGTTCTGTGACCTGAATGCTTTGTCCCGTAAAATATTGGGAGCTGACTGATAGTTCAGAGGAGGAAGGAAATGTGGAGACCAAGAACTTTGTAAGGAAGATGGCGTTGTTTCTTTTCTTTCTCACTTCTCCGCTCGAAGCCCTGTTTTGGCGTACGTTAGTATTGAGTGCCAATCCTCAGAGCATTCTTTATAATTCTAATTGTTACAGTGAGGCAAAGGAGAAGGAGTGATTTAAGACACCCAAATCACAACACTTTTTTTCCTGTGGATGGTACTTCATATCTCATTACAAAACTGGACAGCATGAAGAACTACGCTATCAGACACTTCAGCCCACTAGCTTTAAATTATAGACAACTGCATTTAACAGCTTCTGAGTGATTTTTCAAGCATAGCTATATGTAGAGCTCTTACAGGAGTCAAGTTTGAAGGGCACTAAATCACTCTAGTGATGTATGGTTTCATATTCTCTTTCTTTCCGGGACTAAGTCTCCTGCATTTATGATTGATCGCCTGTACCTTCTCTTCTCAGATACTGAAAGCAATCCAGTATTGTTAGAAAAGCTGCAGGAGCAACTAAGCCACTGTTTCTTGTCCCCTATTTAAATGTGAGATTAGAGGGTAACATAAGTTGGAGATGAGAAAGTCTTACTTCAGATAGAAACGGGATGTAAAAAATTTCCAAGGGACCACAATGTGAGGCACTTGGATCAAGTTTTTGATCAAGGATGGCATGACTACTCTGAAGAGACACACAATAATAAATAATGCTGTATTTCCAAGGGAGATTTTTCAGTGTACTGGAATGCTGTATCTTAAAGTTGGAAGCAGTTCTACCCAGCGTTAGAAAAAGATAACTTGTTTTCCAGGATTCCTGTGGTCAAACTGTTTGTCACTGCATGAGGAGAAGAGATTTGTGCACTTGCATAACCTCTCCAGTTCATCATCCGGTGCTAATAATGATTTAATGATGCAATATAGGAGCAAAGCATCCCTAGCATGGACATCATTACGTTAGCAAAGCTGTGCTAACAATAGAATGAAAACAGCCTTTGTGGGTGAAACAAACTACAGTATAAAAGCAGTTTTGCTGGCTTAAGAACTGTACATTTATACAGGGGCTTATCATGTGCCGACACTGTTCAGTGGTCTTCCTTAACAAAGCTATGCTAGCAAAAATCTGCGATAGTCCAAGAAAATGCTGGAGGGCTCTGGAAACTGCATGAGGAAACACAGGATGTGAAGAACTTTAGACAAATAATAAAGATTGCCATTATCTAGAAGAATAAGTAAAAAATTTGAAATAACAAAAGGCAAGGTAAAGTTCAGCCACTGAACAGATTGGCTTATAAAAGGCAAAACTCGTGGGCTGAAGTGGCAGTTTTGCTCCAGAAATCTCCAGCAGTACTGGAAACCAGACCAAAGCTGCAGCAGAGCTGCAAACTAGGTTGAAATCCTGAAAGCTGGCACTATTTAGCTGATTGCAAACTATTAAAGATTATTGGCTGCAGCTGCTATCTTGGACTCCAAAAAAACCAAACAAGCAAAATTTCTAAAAAATAGCAAATATGAACACAGAAGACAAAGCTTGAGGAACTTTCCTCAGTGGAGTAGTCCTAATCTTTGGTAGCTCCATGAGATGTTTTACTTTATCATTATTTTGTGGGCTGAGTACAAACCACCTAATTTTAATTATGGACTGTTTATCTTTGTTACGGAAAAGTAAGGTGGTCGACTGGACTGTGGATTAAATAATAAAAAGAAGTTAAATGTAATCAACATACTGATACTCTGAACCACATTAATATTCAGATCTTCCCAGAAAATTTCACAAATAAGCAGGCTGATAAATAACATTTCATTTCTCTGTGCTAAAACCTTAAAAATCTAATTAAATCTGCATGGACATCTCTTCTTCCGTACTGTGTAACTTAGTGTGTCAGTACTGAGCCCATGCTAAAGAAGAGCTTTTTTGAAAATGACAGGTGTTCTATGTGCACTTAAGCTGTTTTTCAATACAAAAATACAAACAGACCTCTCATTTACTTATGTAGCTGATGTGTTGTTGGAGATGTGTATGATCAGAAATTTGTCTTCATGTTATCTGCAAAGCAAGGTTTGTTAATAAGTTTTACTTGACCACCTGATACAGTTGAAAAAAGGCAAGCATTCAGGCACCTAAACCATTCCTCAGATAGTATTTCAGCAGCCTTTTATTACAGTAATTTTAGTTAATTTTAAAGGCAACTCAGGTTGTCTATGACTAGTTTAAAATGTAGTACCACCTAGATTATAACATTTTACTTTCTGTTTAAAAACTCCAACAAAGCATGTTAGAAATTTTTTCAAGGCCTTCAGGTTGTTGGTGATAAAATGTCATTAAAGTCTCGTGACTTGTGAGAGATCACTTACCTATCAACCTATCCTATTAACCTTATTTTCCTCCCTGGTCCTTACACACTGCCAAGAAACTTGGCTGTGTGTACTTAAATTGGTATATAACAGTATTTTTCCAAGGTGGACCTAAGAAAACTACACAAATTGCTTGTCAATGTTATATCAGACGATCGACTGCATTTATGTAATTAGTTATTTTTATAGCATATTATTTTATACACTACCTTTTAAGTGGCAGGCGACAAACAGCAGAGCGGTTTTTTTTACACTTAGGAATGGAAACTTCGGCTTTAAGCAGCCTACTTCATTCAGAGCTTTTATTAGAGAAGTTGCTACTCCCTAAAGAAAGAAAACAGTTTTAACAGACCATTACAGAAATCTTCAACGAAGATATATTTAAAGCCTGATCCTGTTGTCATGCAAATCTAACAATATAGGATGATACCTAAGTTGGTGAATTGTAGAAGATAACAAATAATATAAAATAGGGAGGAAAGTGACCATGAATCATTTTTTATTTCATATTCATGTCTCAAAATGTAACCAACTATCCTTAAATGATTCCAGATAGGCTTGTGTCTGTCCTGGTGTTAAAAATCAAAGTAAAATGTAATCTTGGAAGATACGATAATCAAAAGAGTCAGAAAATCCATCATATAATATTGCAGTTTATTATTCTCCTCTGATGGTCTTTCTTGTATTTTTTCCATTAAAGCTACAAATATCTGTTCTTTTAAAGCTTTAAAACAATTCCTCTCAATTGCAAGTACACAGTTTTCAATTTAATATAATCCCATTAATAAACAAAAGATTCATATTGCATTAAAAATGAAATAAACTGGGTGGGATATACTATACATTGCAAAATCGTGTTTTAAAATAGAAAAGCAAAAACTGGCCTGTTCAAGGTATCCAGCCAAAGGAAGTGCAGTGAGGGGTATTGGCTCCTTTATTGGAGGGAGTTTATGTGGAAGCTTCAGATTCCAGTACTTCTCTGGTAACCTAAGCAGGTAAAAAGTAAGCACTTTTAAGATGTTGTTGTGGTTTAACCTCAGCCAGCAGCTAGGCACCATGCAGCTGCTTGCTCACTCCTCCCCCACCCAGTGGGATGGGGAGGAGAATTGAAAAGAACAAGTAAAACTCAGGGGTTGAGATAAGAACAGTTTAATAACTAAAGTAAAATAAAATATAATAATAATAATAATAAAAAGGAATATTAAGAAAAAAAAAAGAAAAATAAAACCCAAGAAAAGACAAGTGATGCACAATGCAATAGCTCACCAACAACTGACCGATGCCTGAGCAGTGATCCGCCCCTCCCGGCCAACTCCCCCCCCAGTTTATATACGGAGCATGACGTTCTATGGTATGGAATATCCCTTTGGCTAGTTCAGGTCAGTGGTCCTGGCCATGCTCCCTCCCAGCTTCTTGTGCACCTGCTCGCTGGCAGAGCATGGGAAACTGAAAAATCCTTGACTTAGGATAGGTGCTATTATTTAGCAACAACTAAAACATCAGTGTGTTATCAACATTATTTTCACACTAAATCTAAAACACACTGTACCAGCTACTAAAAAGAAACTTAACTCTATCCCAGCTGAAACCAGGACAGATGTATAAACTGTGACATGATTAAAGATTAAAATACAGTTAGTATATTCACCTCATAAACTTCAGAAGTTTTTCTTCACTTTCAAAAATATATACCTTATCTTGATATTTTGCTGCATACTCGATGTTGCCAGGCACCAAAGCTTCATATCTGAAGAGACGGGGCAAGAACAACTACTGATTCACAAGAAATGTAAAACATTTGGGCGGTGTAAATTCATGAGCTACTGAGAGCCTTCTGGTATTTTAGCAAGTACAGGAACTACAAAAAAGTAGCAATTGGATCATCCAATTTTCTACCATGTGACTGACAGTTACAAGGCTCAAAATCTGAGAGAGTCTGCCTCAAAATCTGCTTAGTAAGCAGCTTTTATAGTGCTTCTTTAGAGCTCCTCTAGTTAAAATGCCAATCGTAGTTGTTCAGCAGATTAAGAAGGGACAGCATAGAATTGACTATTATGGTTCTACCTTGCTGAGAAATTCCTGCACACTGAGGAAATCAGTGGGACTTTATGGTAGAGCTTTATGGATCTCTTATAAAAATCATAGTAGCTAGTCTTGCATTTACTAAGGTTTTGTGAGATTTGTTTGAACTTTTGAAGACTTATGATAGAGAAAACTCAAACTATATCTGAGGAGTCTTCATCATAAAAGACAGTAAACCAGCAGAGATCCTTGTGGAACCTGTAGCCATATGAGTTTCAAAAGGTGATTTTACATTGATTTCCAAAGCCACAGGCACAACATAGAGATTTGTAATTGCTTTTCCTGTCCAAGTCCTGAACACTATTAAAAAGTACTTTGGAAGTGTTTCCTCATTAATATGTTAATATAGGACACATAGTCTGTAATTCAGATTATGAAAACTGCAGTGATGTACCTCTGTTTTCCATCTAGGTAAGTGACTGGACAATATCCCTGCATTTCAGCACTTATAGGGAATAAGGCCTTCACTTCTGCCGCCGTCAGTTTCTCTGGTAGCTTATCTGGGGGTGGGAGAGGGTGAGGTGCCAGTGGTGGCACATAAACCTCTGGTCTGCTCAAGAATTTCTGTACAAAAATAAATTAGATGTTTTTATAATGAAAGAAGCACTGTAAGACTGTTAGTCAAACTCCAGAGGACTGGCTCACACAATTTAGATACTTGTTTCTTCTACAACACCTTAGTGTGGTGGCACTGCTGCTGCTTTCGGCTAAGTAATTTCTTTTCCAACCCACTCTCAGTTGAAGTCATCACTGTCCGCCCACCGTCCATCACTATCCATTGCTATCATTAGCCACTGTCTACCTCCAGTCTCCCCAAAACAGATGGAGAAAGGAGGAAATGGTTGTTTTAAAATGAATGTTTTATCTATGACAATTTGTTAGAGGAGATTTGGTTTGAATGGACTCTGCTGCATTTTGTCGGCCTAGATGTTTGATAGCAGAAGTACACAGAACAAAAGCTTGAATACTAACAACGCTAGTCTAATTCAGATTACATATTGCTTGTTTCTGTATGGAATCAAAGAATCTAAGCAACAATGTTCCCTCTTCCCGTAATCGCCTCCCAACCTGCTTTTTGACACTTACGTCCAGTTCTTCCTGTGAAGCCATTTTGTAATAGTGTCCTCGGAATTCTGCAGCAAACTGCAATGATGACATTACAGAGCAGTCAACCAGTTCACCCTTTTCTGCAAGGCTGACGGGACAGTACTGTCCAAACTCCCCCAGCCGATACTGCAGCTCTTCAGGAGTGATACATAAATCAGCAATGCCAGCTGCTTTTCCTGTTAATAAAAGCAATTAATGATAATGTTTTATTAATGAAAGACATAGAAACATCAAACATTTCTATTCAGAAATGTTACAGTTTAGAAGTTGTTATAATTCATCGTGTGAAAGTTACATGAAATAATGAGACTTAAAATAGCAGGTTTTTGTAGATTGATACTACAATGAAGTTGCAACCCGTTTTACCAATTAATTTTGATAACATTTTTCTAGCACTTAAACAATATAATAATTATTAATTATGTGGGATCCTTTGCATGCTTAACTTATTAGTCTGTTTTCCCTGGGACAGTTTTATTTACAATTTATTATTTTATTCCTTTGCGTTGCTAAGGAACATTTCAGCTATTATTTTATTTCTTTACACTGCTGAAGAAGAGTACAAGGTGTGATGAAAGCCTCCCCTTTATTCATCCATGTCTTGCAAATGCTACAGTCTATCTGGATGAAATATATTCAAAATCTTGAATAAAATGTCATATAAAATCCAAACCATTTAAAAATTGTGCTTTTCAAGACTGATGTGAAAAAGTTAAATGTATTTACATTTTTTTTGGCTTATGACTTCAATTTTTAAGAAGGGTGCAGCCACAGACATGTAAAAGTTAAAACCAAAAGGTGGGTATAAGATAAGGAAGTCTGTTTGCCCTTCAGAGGAATTCTAGTTAAACTGTACAGGCATGTTTAAAAAGGCATATTTAATCCTGACCAGAGCTGACACACCAAAATGCAAGCGGGAACCGTGTCATTTTAGACTAAAGCGTTTTTCCTCCCACAGCACAAAAATTAACTTAGATGGCATATTTAACCTTAATTCTGATTTTATAATTAACATTTTCCCCCTCCTTCCCTCTTCCTCCACTGACGCTTAAGCGAAACTGCAAGTCATTGTTCCCATTGCATACTTTGGCTTCCCTTTGTGATTTATCACCCAATGTTGAGGAATCTGCTGTGGCCCTTGAGATCTCTGATGTCTTTCAGCTGTATTCTGTTACCCTGTTCTTTGGAGGATGTCCTGTAGTTGGTTTTTTCTTCGCTCTCTTCAAGAGATCTTTTCAAGATCTCTGCAGATGAGATCAAAGAATTTGAGGGTATGTATGTGCCCAAGAATTAGCTTCAACCAAAGCAAGTTGAAGTTGAAATGCAGTCATTACATTGCAGCTTCTTAAAGAAATGAATATTATTCTGAGAAACTTTGTTTTTCTTTTACCTTCTTTTACTCTTTCCAGGTATATCTGGATTTCTTTAACAACCACTTGAACTTCCTGCAGTACTTTGTTCCAGATCCACCACTTGCTCTGACAGGCATCAATCACACACCAGTTCTGATGCTCCTTCTTATAGTAAGTCCTAATTGCATCAATGTGCTGTTTATAGCAGGAATTTTTAATAGCTAGAATCTGTGAGCTGTCATGTTCAGGGTAGGGAGGTCTGAAGAAAATGAAAAATAAAAGTCTGAAGGTTAGATCATTTCACTGAATTTCAGATGTAAATTCTAGAATTCACTTTAAGTCCTTTTTACAAAATTCTGCTTATTTGACACTGTAGAACATATTTGAGAAATGCAACTTTCTTATTAAGAATATTACCAGTTACATATGAAAAGCAGCATACTTCTGATCAGACAGTTATGTTGAGAAACAAACAAAACTTTTGCTATTAATGTCCTAAATACAACTCAATAATTTTGTAAAGGATTTGGAATGTATCATCACATATTAACTAACACACATGACCAATACACCATTAAATGGTACCCTAGACAAAATGCTATGAGACTTTAAAATGGAAGTCAACCATTTATTGAAAAACAGGCTTAATTTTGAATTATGCTGTTTGAAGTCAAGAAGTAGCCATAATCCTTGAATACATTTTGAAAACTGTCTGTCATATTTTGATATACATAAATGAAAATAATCCATCTGACCTCTAAAAATACTATGCAAGACCAGAAGAGATATTTTGACTAGAGCATAGAAGCATTTCCTGTTCTGGTTCTTAATTTAAGTGATGCCAAAAAAAAATATAAACTTCTGTTTTAATAGGATTAATTTCTCTGTAAGTTGTACCTTTCAGAAATATCTGATATTGCACATTTGATTTGTATTTAAGCCTATGAAATATAATTAGTTTGGTATTTAAAATGAAAAATTTAAAGGAAATACTTTCAAAAAGACAGCATTAATTTAATTTTTTGCAATGCAAATTGCCTTTAAGCTTTCAGTAAACAATTAAGCATTGTACTGATTCCTTGATAAAAAGAAAGAGACAAAATGAAAGAGACATGCAATTATGCTCTCTGGAACTTCTTAGAAACACTTCCTCTAATGAGAACCAGGTTCTTATACAATTAAATTTTAAGGTGAATGTTCTGTTCTTTTTAATTCTCTGTCTGTTTATAAACTACTTACTGCCTTTCCTCAAAAACAACCAACAGCTCTTTAAACAGAATATTTATCTCCTTAGAAAAACAAAGGAGAAGGGAGCGAGCTGAATTGAAATGTTTAGATGAGTAACTCATGAATTGTATACATTATTAAAATATACATTAGTTCCATCTTTTGAAAAGAACTCCAATTAAAACTTACAAGAGAGCTTATTAGATGAAGTATCAATTTCCTTTATGATGATAATAATTGAATTGATGAATAATAAACTTCAGCAGCAGAGTGAACTACTAACACTTCTGATGCACGATTTCGTTAAAACCAGTTTAACTAAGCAGTGGGTGCACAGCATTGCACATCTGTGACCTCAGTCATGCAATTAGGGGATCTGGCCAGAGAATGCCACAAATTCCTTATGTCTCCATTTCTGGTCTACGGAAATCAAAGCATTAGAATGTAGAGAGACTGGTGCCCATGTCTTTTCATACATGGAGTTCAGAAACAGCTGGGTTATGGACCAGCTTAGATGCAGCCTCTCTGGGTATAGCCCTGAGGCACATAAATAGAGAAATGACAATATAATGTGGATAAAAATATTGCTGTCAGGGAGTATCACTACCTGTTCGTGCTTTCCTTATCCAACAGTGCTCTTCTGAACACTTCCTTTGCATCCATTTCCAATTCAAAGATTTTCACTGGAATAATCCTAGCTGATTCCAGGAGGTTTACTTGTTTTCTTGTTACAGGATATCCATCAATTATAACTCTGCATACAAACAGAAACAGAAAGATGGTTTTCCTAAGAAGTCAGTTTCTAATTAACCATTAAGACTATGTGTATTCCTAGCACATTCTCAATGGAGACAAAGGTCTACACCCATGCCATGAAGTTTTTGCTGCTCTGACTTGATAGACACAGTCTTCACTGCTAAGAATTTATAATAAAATAAAAAAAAAAAATCAAGTAGATAGAATAAGAAATAGTAAAGACTAAAGGAAATACACAAAGGGCTGAAGGTATAGAAATGTAAGTGGATGACTCTGAGTTATAAAAATGGTGGACTTTAAAATTCTGACACATCAATCATTCAGAAACATAATTTTAGCTATGGGAAATCTCCATATGTATTGGGAGAAGTAGTTTGCAAAGTGAAAAGTAAAATGATTTACAGTACTTGAAGAGTTTTTTAAATCATATTGAAAAAGAAATGCTTTTCACATATTAGGCAATACTGGGGCTAAATATACTGAAACAATATTCCAGTATTTAACATGAAAGAAAAGTTGAAAGAATTCTGATCTCAAGCTCAAATAACTTTCAGAGATTATTCCAGAATTGCCTTTCCCTGTAACAATTCTCCTTTTTTTGGGGAGAGGAGTTGAGTGTCATGAAATCATGATCACGAAGCTTTTAAAGTCTGCCCAGTTTGGAAGGTGTTTCAGTGGTGGAGAAAGAGCCTAGGAAATCAGGATCACATATGAATGAGGTGGAAAGACTCACTGGTTTCAGTTCCTCCTTAATAACTTCGGTTGTTAACAAAACCAGAAAAAACCCTGAGTACTGAACCAGTCTGCATGACCAAAGAGAATCAAATGTGCCCAGGTTGGTGCTGGAGTTGGTATAAGAGAGATAAAATAGTAGTTCTCAAAGGATAGTAGAAAATACTGCTTTATTGACTGAAAATAAAAGGTAACTTTCATAAAGCATATTACTTGGATTTACTGGAATATACTTACTTGAAAATTGCAGAAAATTATGCTTCAGTCTGGTGAAGAACCTCATTTTGTATGGATTATTTTCTTAATGCATAAACCACTGATGTGTTTTAGTGAAATCATTTTACAGTGATAACATGGGAATCACTGCCTATGAAGGGACTGGCATGTCTTGAAAAAAACCCTGAAACCCAAACAAGACTCTTACCCGGTGGTATTACACACGTGATTCATCAGAGCCACATCAAGAGCCTGGATGGCCAGTTCGTCGGGTACGGTCAGTCCTTTGTGAAGATGCCACTTTAACAGAAGTGCCAACTCACTCTCCGGCTGATTGTTTAACACTAGCCGTATGGCATCTCCCATACTCAGGCGCAGTAACCCATATACACTTGCAAATTTCTTGGCAACTGCAAAACATTTTGATTTCAACACACGACTTTTATGTAAGCAACATCACAAACTAGCAGTCTGTTAAAGTATGTCCTTAATCTTAGAAGCTAACTGCTCAGCTCGTTCCCTGGGTCATTGCCAATGCATAATCTTGGTAAGTGGGTGCCTAACCTTGCTTAGGCCCCTAAAGGGCCCAAACCTTTGCATACATGCAGAGCATGCCCAATGCGCTAACAGCGTTCCATTCAGCACAAACCTCAGCAACAATAGTCAATATTATTACAAAATATCTTAGAAAATATGCTTCCACTGCTGCCTCTTTTACAGAACAGCCTAGCAGTTAGATCATATATCCAGGAAATGGGAAAAATGGTTAAAAATCCCTCCTTAATACAGGAGAATTTGAACCTGTCTCTTCTTTTTCTAACACCCTATTCTAATCATTAGGCTACGGTGTAAGCTGATTTTTTTCCTCCTCCAGTTAAAGGCAGAGACCTGTGAATTGAAAGAGTTGTAGAGAAAGAAGGAGAGGGGAGAAAGACAGAAATCTTGGTTTTTTTAGTCTAGAAGTTTGGAAACAGACTGGGGAATGTGGAGTTTTGGGTTCTGGTCCTTGATCCTAGGAATACTTCTTTGTTTTACATTAGATCATATTGACTGAAAGAAATAAGAAACAATTAGAAAAGAATCAGAAATAATAGTGTAAGTCTGGATTTTCTAAGTGCCAGTCCAGGTCACTAACTTCTTAAGAAGCTGGGGTAAAATTCAGATGGACAATGCATAAATATCTGACTGTAAAATGAGACACTAGAGAATGTAAGTAAAGGATTCTATGCTCAGCAAGAAGAGCAGGAAGCTCAACAATATTAATGGTTTATGATTTTTTAATAGCAGTAATGACAGATACAGCTTCAGTCATTAGATAATGTTTTGCTTTATAGATAATACGGGCTCCTACCTGTAGTCTTTCCAGATTTTGGAGGTCCCACAATTGCAATCTTAACTGGCACAGCTGGTTTAGGTTTTGACTGACGAATATATTTGATGGGATTTTTCATAAATGTTTCTTTATTTTCTTTACTTGAAAAGAAATAAATGTATTGTCGATGGATTACAGGAAAGACTGTGTTTCCATGGCTTTGTTGTGGCTTGATTACATCTCCTTCACTTAGCTGTAGCATATATAAAATGGAAGCAGTTGATTAGGTTTGACAAAGCCTCCTCTCCCTCCATCCTAAAGAAGGGGCTTTATAGGCAGGTAGAGGAGTACCAACTGTATGAAACAAACCATCACAGCATTCTGAAATTCATACATATGGACATAATATATTGTCCGAGTCTGAGGAACTTCCATACATACACAATTCTTGTACAAAAAGATGAAGCAAACATTGAAGAAAGAATATTCACTGTTTCCAGTAGGTGGTACCATAACACTTTCTGTCTGTCAAGAGAGTGTAGTCAGAGGTATAACATAATACTTCTTTTAATTTTCAAAGAATAAAGAAAATAATTTTATTCCTCTGTGAATTAAAACCACTTATCTGCCTGACAGTAGAAGATACACTGAGAATATTGTATTCAGCAGAAGTCATGCACAAATGAAGAAAACAGAAAAGAGTATCAATACTTCATTGTGGTGAAGTGTAAAACCACAACAAGGCAAGTCAAAAAAGCTTTTAGTAAAATACATAGACACTGCTGATGAAATCTTTTCAAACACATCAGACAGCCCAGTAGAAAGTCTGTAGTGTTGGTGCATCATTGAGATGTATGAGGAGCACTAATGGCAGAAATGGTCATTGCAGAAATACTAAATTAATTCCTTGCACCACTGTTCACTATGGAAGAACTTGGTGTATGTCTCTGTTGCAGCCCTTCTTGGAGGAACTGCCTTAAAGTGTCAATAAAAGATGTTTTAAAACAATGTGTTGACATCTGTAGAAAAAATTGCCCAGACCAGATGGCATTCACCTCACAGTTCTAAAGGGACTCGGAAGTGAAATTTTTACTGACTAATGTGTAACCTATTGCTTACGTTGGCCTTCCTTCCACAAAAAAGGAAGGTGGAGAAAGTGACTGTTTTTTGAAAAGGCCTTCAGGATGGATCCTGGCAAACATAGTCCAGTAAATCTGACCCTGTACTGAGTAAATTGAAATATATTAAGGAAAAAAACAGTAGTTACAGGCATACATATGAACTAATGGGGAAGAGTCAACTCAGCTTCTGGTAGAGAGAAATCATACTTCACAAATCTATTAGTATTCTTTGAAGGCGTCAGTAAATATATATAGATAAGTTGATCTGGTTGTTACAGTAAGAGATGAGGCTGTTCTACTGCGTGGCGTTACCTTGCCGGAGCCTTCTCTGATTCTTAGGTTCCTATTCCTGCATCAAGTCATTTTGGGGTGCTTGCCCTCAATTTGTAAGATGTCAGGAGTCTGTTCTACTGTATATCTGCTCCCATTCCTCCCTCAGCTCATCACTTTTATTCTCTGCTTATCTAATCAGTTGCATAACTCCTTCCCTTTCCCCCAAATTTAATCTAAAAGTAATTGGCATATACTCTATCTGCCTTTCTACAAAAAACCCCTCCAGTCCTTAATCAATTTCATCATTTCTATTATATCCTAAAATACCCTCAAAATGATCCTATTTCCCTTTCCTTATTGTCAGCACATGCATTTCTACTGTCAGCACACCACTCTGATTTTATCTAATAGCTTTCTATGACTTCTTTCTTCTAACTGAATTGTACTTTTTGGTTGGTAAAAAACCCCTATACAGCATGAATGAATGAATTGGAGAGATGGAATGACAAAAATGTAGTGAAGTCTAATAGAACAAAGTGCAAGGTCTAGCATGTAGGGACTAAAAAGAATTTCACATATAAGCTAGGGTTCAGTAATTGGAAATGACAGAAGAGAAGAAATATCTACTTCTATTAATATGTCCCTAGATTACTAGATGCCAATCTGATGCAGCCATAGAAAAGGCAATTCTGATCCTAAAACATTTTAAGTAAGTATTTTGATTATACAAAGCTATAATAAGAGCTGATCTGTGTACAATTCTGATTGCCAAGATTAAAGAAAGATAAACATAATCTGGAACAGGTGAAGACTCAACATGATGACTATACAAAAGGGAATAAAAGTTACTTGATTAATTAGTGTAGTAAAATAAAGGCCAAAATATGTTTCCTTCAGGAAATTCCTATTTCCTGTATCTTGTTCACTGTTTGGTTGGTTTTTTTACCCTCTTTTTTATTTCTGGTTTACTTACAATCCAACCTGCTTTTATTTCTAGCATTAAAACCAAAAATTTACCCACTAACATTTCACTTGCTACCTATAAAACTGTATTAGCTCACTTTTGGGGATAGACGTTGTGGACACATATTTAGCTAACGATCGCAAGAGCATTTCAGATGCCTTTAGAAGACCTTGAACAGAATAAACAAGAAGACAAAAAAAGAAAGATGCCAATTAGAAGAACACAGGTGCGCATTCCACGATAAAGGGAACTTGGCACAAAGAACCTCAATTCGGGGGTTTATCTTGATCAAATAGACTGAGACAAGTTTTGCATGTTTTAGTTGGTATAACCAATTATGTCCTATGTTTATGCGCGTGTACAGAGTTGATATAACCAATCATATTTTATGCTTGTGCGCATGTACAGTGACTTTGCAGAATATATGATTATAAATATGTGTGTGTTTTAGCAATAAACGTCGTCTGCTTTCAACTTTACAGGCATCCGTTTATTTCTACCTCCTGCAAGACAATGAGTACTTTCTGCCCTCAACTTTCCAGATCTCTAGTAAAATACTATGGAGTTAGATTTGTTGCTCTTCAACATTTGTAAATTTTGACAACACAGAATTTTTGGTGATTAATTGCCTACATTTAACATTTTTGGTTTACTTTTTTGTCACTGCTATGGTTGGTGGCCACCTGTGTGGCTTCTTACAGATTCAAAACCCAAATCCTTTCAGTTTGTTTTCACTGCTTCTGGAAGGCTTTAAGACCTCTGTTGTCCTGTGTTTTGTAGATCATTAAGAATTAGGCATTTCCTTCTGATTTGGTGATACCTTTAATTGTGTTGCTAATGCTAATGTAACAGATTTTACTAAATGCCTCTCAGCCTTAATTTAGCTGCAAGAATTTTGTGACTAACACTTCTTATTATCAATGCTTGCTGTATTTTGTGTATATTCAGTGGTGTAGTTTTGATTCAGTAATGTAGTTTTCATTAAATATTTCTGGTATTAGTTGCTACTGTCTGATAATTTTTTTTTAATGTGAAATACATTTTTTAAAAGTATTACTTATTGAAAATATTCTTCAGCTATTTAAGAACATTACCTTGATTGGGTCCCACTGACCAAAAGAACTTGGAAATTTATACGAGAAAACTAGCATCTTATGTGCAAGTGGCAAACTTATTGGGTAACATTTCTCAAAAATGCTTCCACGATTTTCCATTAGAGAATTCAGCTTGCTATATATTTGGTAGCATACGATGTGAGGCTTCCGTCCTCCATTGATCTCAATTTGTGGTATTAACAATTTTTCAAGTTCTTCCTGGTTAATGAAAACATAACGAAATATTAGAATCATAAACATGATCAGATTTTTAATAATGACTGACAGCAAGATTTTCTGTGAACTATCAAGGATTTCTTGAGCATGTTCTCAGTCACAGTAAATCAGCAAAATTTGATTTGAGATGAGGATTGGTCTTCCTGCCCATTGAAGTTTAAATTACCCAGCCTATATTAATATAACACTACATTAAAAAAAAGGACAATTTGACAGTTAACTTTGAGGAATCAACTGTGATAAAGCTAAAGCTTGAGAAGTATTTTTTATTTAAAAAATAATCAAATATCATTCTTTCCCTACTCCAAACAATTTAGGATGGCATATTTAATTGCTTTCTAAAAATCTTGCTGCTCTGTGGTGACTTCTTATTCCCCAGCTTATTCAGGTAAAATATAAAACCAATCCATCTTCTGCAGAGTTTTTTGTAGCGACCTAAGACTTTTAGAATGCTGCTGTGTTTTAATGTTGTCATTTAGTTTTCCATAAAAGACCAAGATTCCATAATGTCAAAGAAGACAAACAATTAAAGAATCAGAGAACAATAAAGAAGAGTCTTGAATAATGAATCAAAAATAGTAAATTATTTAAAGTTATTCATAAAGGCATAAATGTTCTTGGAATTAAAAAAATAATGGGAAAAATACTGAGTAAGCTGTAACTAGGGGACATTAGTAGTATCTAGTCCCAATATGTAATTCTATTGTATGATACTACTTCTGTGTAATTCCTCAACTTACATTTAATATCTATATAGATTCACAGTCTTGGATCTTTCCACTTACTATCATAAGCAGAACTCAATATATAACAAATTCTAAAACACTAGTCACCTCTATGGTCACTGAGATTTATGTACTTCTTGAGAGAAACAAAAGTTGCTGACTCTTAATTGCTTGTTCCTTTTCTGATCAAGTTTTCATCAGTTTACTAATGCAACAAATTATATGCTCCCAAATGAGAGAGAGGAAAATGCTCCATGAGCTACAGTATTCCACTAGCTTTAACTTGAAACGTATTGTTCACATAAAGAGCTAAGTTTGTTCCTGGGATTTCTTGTTTATTGTCTCTTGTGAGCCTTATCCTAAATTCTTTCCAATTCTATTTTGCAAATTCAGTTTATACTCAGGAAAGTGAAATTGGCAACAAGCTTCATTCAGAACCCCTAAAATTATTTTTGTGATTATCATTGGGATACATGATTATATGCATTGAATAGTTCAATAAAATTATGACATTTTACAGTCACTTTTGAAAGTTGAATGTAGTTTCAATTCACCTTCTTCCAAATTTAATGGAAAGGTGAATCTTTGAGCACAAAACAATCTTTCCCACACAGCTTACACTTCCTTGTAGTGCAAAGAATGTTAAGAGTTTACTCTTGATTCATCTGACATTTAATCCATTAACTATTATAATAAAGTGAACCTTGAATCAGTCACACTTATGGTGTTGGTAAAGGTTGGATTTATTTTGAAATCTTACATCTATGTCTTGGCTATCTACTTCTGTAAACTTTCTCTCTGGTCAGTGGGTAGAGTTTCTTCTAAATCATAATTAGTTTCCTCCTGAAGTAAGATACTTAGTTTACAGTAAACAAATGGCACCAATCTATTTATTGCCTTAGATGTGGGCATTAATGTTGCAGATATCTAAAGTTAGATGGGGTTACCTCGCCATAGGTAACTGCACTGATTTAAAGAAAATCATGTTACTAAGAACTGTATTAAAAAATTAGAGTTGTCTAATAAGAATTTTGCCTTAAAAATTATTTTGAAATACTGTTCATATACTTATGACTCTCTAGATTGGTTGCCTGCATCAACTGACCTAACAAAAAGGAAATAAGGACCCCAAGACTGGGTAGGTCTAGCCAAAAGTTTCCTTTGGGTCTCCCCCCCTCCCCAATATTAGTCTTATAAATTATATACTTTTTAAAGTACACGCCTTCTCACTACAGCCTTCATCTTGCTAACATATTTAGATCATGAGTACAGCAGCATGATTGTTTAAGCCCTATAACTTTTGAATTTGACAACTAAAATAAAACTCTTCTTGCATCATGTGATTATACAATTTAACAAAATAAGCAGTGGATTAGGTACCTGTACACCTTGTAAACTGTCTAGTTCTGAATCAAATTTTTCTGCAATTTCATTTTGTATGCGGTCAACAGCATCAATCTCCTGTTCTTCTTCAGCCTCTTCTTCTTCTTCTTCTAAAAACTCTTCTTCAAGTATAGCTTCAACATCTTCATTTTCATTCTCATCTTCCTCCTCAGTGGCTTCATAATGGTCCTTATTTGCTAAAGCCTATAAAAGTAAAATATTTTGTTGTTTCATGTCTATGATACAGATGTTTTCAAGGAACATATGGTATACTTGCATCTTTTAATTAGAAAATCATTAATTCAACAAAACCTCATTTTGGAGTATCCTTTATCGTAAGCAAAAATCTAGTAAATTCTAGAATCATATTTCAGAAGAAAATAGAGGTACTGCATACTACATACAGTGAAGCATTGTACCAGTTCCAAGAGTGCTTAAAAAACTGAAGTGCTACACTGCAGTTTTGATAAGAGGAGTATTTTTTCATACATAGTATTGTAGTTTGGCAGGACTTTGTTATAAGCAAGCTTATTAGCTGCAAGTGTAGGTGACAGAAGTTCATGAGCAGTCAAGTAGTACATTAATGCATTTATAAATATACTATGTAATTGAGTTTGGGCAGAAATCCTGGTACAGTCCTATTCTGGATCAACCATGGATTTGACATGGTACTTAAAACACATGCCTAATTGCAATTAGTGGGACTACTCTTATGCTTACAAATTCGATGCATAAAACACCTTTGTAAGTATTTTGCTGAATCGGAGCACATATTGAGAATTCTTTTAAAATTGTTTTTAGTGTTCATGAGTCAATAGTTTCTAAAACAATTTAAACATGTCAAATTATTTTTGAAAGTGGAAGTTTCTGACAGTCCATCACATTTTTACTATTCTACATTGCCCTGAAAACTGACTAAAAGCTCTAGAAATTTCCAAGATATGAATGCAAACACTTCTATTTAAAATCTTTTTATTAGCTTGTTTTCTTACCTCCTGTTTCTTTTGTTTTTTTTCTGCTAAAAGTTCTTCTCTTCTTCTAGCAATCCTCTCATCCTGTTAGTGAAAAAAGATGTAAGAAGACAATGATATTTGCTAATAAAAACTGTCCTCTGAGTATTGGTAATGTGACCTAGAATTAATGTTGTACTTTCCACCTAAAAACTCTGTTTCTAGTTGCTTCTAATGTTAAAAAATATTATCTCTGCGGCTTGAAATTTTGCAGACTAGATATACCTCTCTACTAGGTGAACATGTAAGTAAATTTTAGTAAAACTAACTTGGCAACTTCTGAGATTGATATTGGAGGGGGGAGGGGAAGTCTGTGATTCTGATCACACTGCAAATATAATATTTTTATTGGTAAGCTACAGAGTTTCTAAATTTATAGGTGGTCTCTGCCATTTGGCAAAGGGGCGACTGAGTGTAGTATTAAATGTGTGCTGTTCCCTATATCTGTTTAAAACTGCCCAATTTTGACCAAGTTATAAGCATTTGAAATATAGTCCCCCATACATACTCAGTCGATAAATGTCAAATACCTGATGGCTAAATCCTAACTCGGAAGTGATATGCAGAAGCATTCTACTTAAGGCCAGTGGGGTTGATGGGGATTCAACCTGTAATTGCTGTTCTTGCACACTCTAATGCTGTCACCTGAACTGAGATCAGAAAAACTGAGTATATCAACACTCAGGCAATAGTGCAATTTTAAAAATCCATGTTAACACCAAATGAAGTGGCCTGGATACCAGAGCATTCTAACCAGAGCAGCAAGAAACTCTGCACAGACTAATTTTCTCTACTTTTGTGACTAAACTCTGGTATTCCTGAACGACACGTCACTGCAGGTGTACTCCTTGCTCTCAGTATCCTGGTGCCAGCTTCTTTCAGTGGAGAAGGAGCCTCTAGGGTAGCATTCAAATGGTCTGTCTGCTTTTCCCAGACTCTCTGCATGTCCTCCAGCTTTAGTAACAGAAGGAGGGATAACAGTACACCCAGAAATGCTGCATTCTCACAGTACCATCTGACTTGCTCACCAACTGGATGCTATGGAAAAATACTCAATGTGTAACTAAAAACTATATTGCAATACACATAAGCAAAAATATCAAATTACCGTTACTCAGGAAATCCTGATTCTGATCTTTCCTTACTTCTTAATGCCTTTATCAATTTGTATCATTGTTCCGTGTATGTGTTTTAAATAGGAACCTCTTACTTTACTTTGTCATCAGGAGCCATACTGATGCTTACACCGTTCATTCAAGTTTGGACCCTAGGATCTGTAGCACAGGTATTTACCACTTGAATTATCAGAGTAACTGCTTAGAGGGTGAGCTTAGTACAGCAGTGTAGGCTGGTCACTAGAATGCACCTTTTCCAGCAAGACTTTCAACTTGCATCAGGAAGGACTAAATTGAAAAAATACTTTAACTCTCATGATTATATGCATTCTCAGAGCCAACATCTAGCACAAGCAGTTCAGAAAACTTACTGGCATCGTATAAGCCTTGTCCCAAATTCTGTTGTACTAACTTCCTGTGTGTCAGCTGCTCTGTAGTAACTTATGCTCAGACCTTTTCTGATAGTACATGTGAAGTACTTTATCTCACTTTTATAGAAAGCCAGGAACCTTGAATATATTGCATGTGCTGATTGTAAATGGCTGCATAGAGGTTTCAGGTTACTTCAAGTAACTTGTAACCTGTTCAGTAGTAGGCATAGCTTTGTTCGAATGGGAGACTGTGCAGCTGCAACAGCACTGAGAATGTGACTTAGTGCTACTACATTTCTGTGCAGAGTATCATAGTTGGAAACACAGACACATACACTGTACAGTACCTATGAAGTCAGCCTATGGGAGATGCAGATCAACTGAACAGCCCATGAGCAGGGAATCTGGGATGCAACAGCAATAACGTATTTCAGCTGTGTATTTGATTTTTTATGGCCATATTCACTCTCCATCTAGTTGCCTTTTGTCCAGGAGTTTCCAGATGCTGGCATTCTGTCAGACACTTTTCTTGGGCTGTGAGATATCTAAACTCCTGCATGAATTAATTGCACAGAGGAGGAAAGGAGCCCTAAATTATTTTTCGTTTCTGTGGTAAATCTAGGAATGCTGTGAATGTGTGGGGCTGTGTCTCCTGGCTCCCATATCTGTTTCTCTGGGTGCTCTTCACTGCTTTGGGAGTTTTAGAGTCTGTGTTCAGACCTGTGCTGCTGAAATTACAAAGAAGTAGACAGGACTGAAAACTTACCCTTATTTTCGCTTTCAGGTCTTTCCGTTTCTTTTTATTTTCCATTTTTTTACACTGTCTTTCTTTCCATTTTTTCAGACGTGGAGGAAAAAGACGGTCAAGAACATCACTTTCTTCTACTTGAATATAAACTGCAACTTCAGGACAGAGTCCTCGTTCTGACAAATACTGGGCTTCATCTAAAGTACGAGGGAAACCATCCAGTATAAATCCTGTAGACCTAATTGGAAAATATTTATCATTACACAATGTAGTTTAAAGTGCAACACAGTGAAAATGCAATTAATTTGGACACCCCGCCCCCCCAACCTCCCTTATTAAACGTGTATGTTAAGAGTAAACTTAAAAAATACTTTCAGGTATTATCTTTTGACAATGTAAAACTGATACTTCACTATGCATTTTAATTGGTGTACTAACATGTATTTCTTCTGAGGTTTTAATGTGCAGAGATTAATTATTTTAAAATAACTTTAAAAAAAACCAAAATAAAATGTGTCCTCAGTATTGCTTCTGTGATGCTAAAAACTTCTTAGCCACTGCTCTCAAAAAAATGGAAGGTGCCCCAAACATTATTTTGGTAACACCTGCCACAGAAAGCCTGTCGCCTGAAAATTTATTTTTCAGAAATGCTGACAATTTCTCCTCTAGTGTAGGATAAGAATTTTGCCACTCAGCATGACTTACATGTCCCATCCTGCAGATACTAAAACCAGATAAGATATGTCTGGAAAGCTCTATGACCTGTTGGAGCTCTTACATTCTCAAATTAGATAAGGAGTTCTGTAAAGCTGAATGTTGTGTTAATAAGAAGCTAATATTTCTCTTCATTACTTTAGACATTAATAGGATACATTGTAAAACTGCAGAAAACCAAAGCTACAAGGAGTAGGAGTGGATGGTAGAACAGGTGGTCCTGGATGCTGTGGGAAAAAGTTGGGGGGAGGATATCAATCATGATATACATCATGATGAAGGTTCCCTTCTGCTATACAGTCCCTGATGAAACTGAATTTATATAATATAATATCACAACATTATATGTAATTCTGGATATTTTTTTGTCTTTTTTCCTAGAACTGATCTCCCTATTTTTACACCATTAAGAGAATGTTATCCCCTATCTGTGAGCTGACAGGACAAAAGTTTATTTGAGGATCTTGTTTATTCTTTTTAAGGCATTTGTCGTACTGCTAGGAATTGAAACCTAATGGTCAAACTGTCAGCAGCTATGATCTGGATGGAAATGAATGGAATAGACAGGACATGGAAAAAGGGACTTTCCCTGCTGAAATTACATCATGAGTCTGCTTTCTAGGAGTCGATGATCTTATTTATTTATGCAACAATAATCCACATCTATCACAGTGTTATGCATGTACTTTCTAATATGAAAGGAAATCTGTTGTGGATACATCACTGGAGTGCAGATTGTGATGAATACACAAGATAAACTGATTCTGTGTTATTTTGGAGACCACTAATACTTTGTCTTTACTTTCCACACAATATTTACAATATATGGAAGCCAATGGTTACAGCTGGATTCCAGCTCTCCATGTTTATTAATTACATGAAAACATAAAAGGTTTATTTACATATCTATCCTGTAAGCCCATGAAAACTACCCAGCTATTCAGGAGATTTAATGCAATTCAAGTGCACTAAGCACTTTTGTCCAGTCCTACGTAGATAGCATGAGACATTACGTTACTGTCAAAGTACCAATCAAAATAGAGCAACAAAACCAAGACTGAGAGGTAGGTCGTGATTCATAAGAAGCACAAGAGCATTGAAATAATCTCTGCAACAGTTATTTGTAATTGTGGACACAATGGATGATATACTTCCTAAGATTAATTAAAGAAAGAGAGAATCTAATTACAGTTACCGAAATGGCTCTTTCCTCCACCAGTCAAGAACAATGTTATCAAGGACTTCTGGAGGTAGTGCCTCATTATCCATTAGATTTGCTTTGATTGCTTCTTCCTCATGAGTTAACTCCAATTCCTTTATATAAAGAAAATCCACAAAAAAAAAAAAGAAAAAAAAACATAGAAAGAAAGAAAGATCTATCTGACACATTTATTATTTTTTGACTAAGGTAGTGTCTTCATTTGATTTAAACCAGCAGAAACAAAGTAAACTCATTTGCCACATTTCACTATACTACATGATACAATTTGGGATATTTTCCATGAGCTTGGGGTTGGGTACTTCCCTAGAGTTGGGGCAATTGCTGCTCTATGAGTTTTAATGAAACCTAAAACCAAGCACAATTGGTAAGTATTTAATTATACATATGCTTAGTTCAGAGGAATAGAAACTGAAACGATCACAGTTTCTCTTAATTGCCTACAAGAAGTTTTCCACTTATTTATACATTGTTTCATTCTGGAAGACTATCTGCTCTACATCAGAATGTTTTTTTACCTTTTAAAAGCAACATTTATCCTTTGATGCAATCCAAAGAAAGTTGTCAAAGAAAGATATGTAAGGTTACTAGGTATAGGCACATGTCCTGGTTTTGGCTGGAATAAAGTTAATTTTCTTCTTCGTAGCTGGTATAGTCTGTGTTTTGGATTTAGGATGAGAATAATGTTGATAACACACTGACGTTTTAGTTGTTGCATGCAAAGTCGCTTGGAGAGAAAACTTAATATGCAGCTAGGTATTCTCCTGTCCCTCTCAGCATATGGATTTAAGTTGTTCCCTGAGATTCTTTTGTGAATTCATTACAAAATTCTGCTGTCCTTTCCTCATGTAGCAGTCATATTAACCCAAGCAGCTCAAGAATTTGTTAGCATAACCTGTCAGAAAATAAAGGAATAAGCCTTTTTAACAAAAGGATCCAAGGTGATTCAGGAACCTTCCAAATGATAGTAGGGAGCTGCTTGCTGCAAGGACTTGTCTGAGTAAGAATTCCTATGCCTGATAATGTAGCCAAAAGAACTTGAGAATATGCTGGAAGCCACAAGTCTAATGTAGTGTGTCTGTGAGTAATATTTTCTCTAGTGCCTGACACAGTGTATATATTAAAATATATTAATATGGCATAGCAGATACCTAAGAAAGCAAAGTGGTAGCCATATCTGTAACACAAAGGCATCTTGAAAGAAATGTGTGAAGTGGGAGAAAGCAGTAAAACCCATATAAAAATGTGTCACTGACCTCACCACTGCAGATGAACTGTTGAAGTGGCAATTGTATTTGACAAAAGAAAAGAAATGCGAGATGTATATTCTGGGTACAGAACACCCTGCATAGTGGTGGTTTGAAGGACAAGGCTGCTCCCCAGACCTGTCAAGGCTGTGATGGGTTTGGCTGATGCCTACTAAAACAACCAGGATGATATCTTTGTGCTAAACTTCTCAGACTGTATGGTATGTTTTGTTTGCCTTTAGTGTTTTTGCTTTGAATATTATAGCTGACATTTACCTTAAGCTTTGATAGATACGCTTCTAGTGTCTTGCGCCAAAGTGAATGATATAAATGAAGTTAAACGAAATTATTTTGGAGAGGTAGTGGGTCAGTGAAAAAAGGAATAGTCAGACAGTCTGGTAGTAGTCATACTCAGAGAAATGCTTAGGGAGTCCATAACCTCATCCTCTAGAGTTTTGTGCATGGACCAATGAACGGGTTTCTAAACTGAAACGCAATTGCATCAGCTGTGCTCCGGTCATGCCATCAGATAAAGCGCTTCACAAGGAGTGCGAGAAAAAATACTAATGTAGAAGATTGTTTGTCAGCAGATAAAAAGATGAGGAAGAAATACTAACAGAAGTGCCTTTCTGTAAGACATGTCTTGATGCCAAAAAAATAAAGCTGAGTGAGAGACAGCCATAACCATCGGTGACAGGAACACTTGCCTTATTTTTGGCTGTGATGACCAAGCTGTAAACTGACTTGCCAAAAGAACCTCCTCTTAGATTTAACTGATGAAAACGTGAATCTTTATTCTGACATCCATGATTTTGATCTGTACTCCATCTGTGTTGAAGCATTTGCTTCCAATATTACCTGCTCTTGTATTATTTCATCAGGAACACTACCTTCCAGTGACCAGGGACCTCCCCTGCTTTTCAAGACAATAGTGGCCTTGAATGCACCTTTGGCAGCTTCCTCGGCACCTGTGAATGCAACTCATTGACATGTATATGTCCAGATTACATAAATGATCCCAAATTTGATTCTATTCTGCTCTGAGTAGTACCACTCTTTACCCATGCTTTCCTATTAGGCACAGAGACCTAGAAGGCCACAGACTAGCCTGTACTTGTAAAGACCACAATAAAGAAGGCATTGAGAGTCTCAGCCTTTTCAGTGTCTTTCATCAAAAGGTCACCTGTCCCACTCAGTGGCAGAATCATATTTTCTAGGTCTTCCTTTTACTACTGTTCTGTAGAAATTCTTCTTGCTACCCTTCAGATCCCTCACTAGTTTCCACTTCAATTGAGTGCTCGTCTTCCTAATATTGTGCCTGGATGTTGTTTCTGTATGCTTCCTCTGTAGCCTGCTTCCTCTCCTGCATGCTTCCTTAGATCCTGTAGTAGGAAGTCTTTGAAGCTCTTTGATGACTAGTAACTTGAAAGAACATGGCAGGTATCAGGTGTACAAAAAAAAGTGGTTCTTAGAATGTGATGCAGAAACTTATTTCTTCCTGAAGCTTTGAGAGTTGGATAAACCCTCATTTGTATTGTCTAGATTTTCAGTTTCTTTGTACTGTGCATTTTTTCAAAGATTTATATGCTGTGTACCTGTGTTGAGGCTTCTCCACACAATAAAGGCTTTTATTATATCCATTGCTGTCTAAAGAAGAATTCATTTGCATTGAAACCTTGTCTGTTTTTCCCAATATATCACTGCCTAGTAAAAGAAATCACTGTCTCCTGATAAACATTTATTTAAATGTTTATTGTTCAGGGAAATTATACCCTGTAAGAGATGGGGTTTAGAATGTATATTTATAACAATTTTGAACCAGTATTCAATCTGATTAAGAAAAAGAACTAATTTTCTGAAGACTATCATTCATGAATTATTTTACCAGTATCATGAATATCCAGCTATTTGAAACAGTTTTTTAACTACAAGGCATAATTTATGCTACTTAAAGAGTTTTTTTCTGCTTTGAAACTCCGCTGCCAATAGGCAAAGACAACAGTATAATCTGGATTAAAAGGCCTACTATATTAAAAAAATATTAACTTGCCCTGTTATGAACACTGAAATATTTCTGATTTTTTGACAAAGGATGATCAGACTGAAGGGCTGGTAGAGGCGTTCTAGTCTTTTGCCCCAGGAAAGTGCAGAGAGAACTGCTGGTGAAATCTCTAAACTCCTGTGCAATTGGAGCACATGTACCTGACTGAACCTGGGTATTATAAATACTTAAAGGAAACCATACCTTCCTATTAGTATTCTGACCTTCTTTTTTTTTTTCTCAGTTTGTCTTCCTTTGCCCCATTTAGCATCTATCTCTACTATTTAGAAAAAAACCTATACATAATTCTTGGAAATGTTTTGAAGAATGTTGGTGGCATTCATAAGAAAACATTGTCAAGAACTATTACTTCCAAATTTCATCAAGTAAATAATTTAACATAAGTGATTTTTATCAAGCTAGAATTTTATAGGAAATTCCTATTATGGTCTGAAAATGGTTATTTTGTGTATGGACATGAAAAAGATCAGATTATTACCTGTTTGCTTTTTTCAGTCTCAGTTTTAGTCATGGTCTGAGAGAAGTCTTCCAGTTCCTGTGATAGAATTAGCATTTTATTGTCATCTTCTTCAGGTTCTTCATCAACATGGGGCCCAACTTTCTCTTTAGTTTTGGGTAAGATCAGTTCCTGTAGATATTCTTCAAACTGAATATGGAAAATGCCTAATTTGTCTGCTATCCGTCGTGCACAAGTAGTTTTACCTGCTCCGTGAGTCCCAAGTAGACACACCCGTAAAGGAGGAGCCTATAGGAAAATATTGGAATATTTTGTAACAATTTGGAGTTTACAGTGCACCCTCTACTGTTTTTCACTTCCAAAATATCATTATAAAAATTGCATCAAAAACAGTCACATAATTTTGCATTTTAATTTTTCCAGGCTTTCTATTGCTGTTCCAGACAGACTACCTGCTCTCTGGAAATACTGAACAAATACACTATGGCAGTCGATTCCAGTAGGTAAAAATGAAAATTCATTAGACAGTTCTGGTAAATCTTCCCTTCTTTTACCCTTCCTCCACTTACAAAAAAAAAGACTTAAAGGTAGTAAAAAAAACCCCAATATGTGTGATTCATTAACTACATTTTAGGATTATTGTAAGCCTTTATAATCTTCCTCTCTTTTCTGCTTTATTTGCATCATTAATTCAATGTGTACACTAAAAAGTCACTAGGGAAGCAATGTGTTGTATTTATTTCAAGGACTTGCCTGATATATTGTTACCTAGAAAAAATTAGCAATAACAAACAATTATAAATGGGAATGGAAAACAGTGATTTTAATCTGTTATTATCTGCTTTAAACAATTTTGAAGATTCTTACTTGTATTGGTTCATTGTGAGCCACATACTCCTCAGGGTTCTTCAAAAATTTATCTCTGTACTCAGAAGTTGAAAAGTAATACAGCTTTTCTTGATATTTAGCTGCATGTTCATAGCGTCCTGGGTAAAGGACAAAGTTCTCTTTCAGACTGACTGGACAAAAGTGTTTTGTGTCTCCCATGTGCCTTTTATTTTCCTTAGTTTTTTCTTCATCCTGAAAATATTATGAAAATTTTCAAAAACTATTTGAGTTCAGTAGTTCACTTAGATTAAGTAGATCAAGTAGATCAGATTAAGAAATGTCAAATACATCAACTGAGCATTGAATGAGCATAGTATTCTCAAGACAGTTTGTAAGCTGAATGTAAGTCTATGAAAATACACACTTTTTAGATTCAGAGTCAGGAAACAAACTGTCCAATCTAGTGAGAGAACTATTGAGAAAAGAATGACCATTTTAAATTTGAAATGATAATATCATAGTTATCTATTGAAGACCAAAATTAGGCTAGAAGTATCTATGATAGAATCTTTTCCTTCTGTGATCTTGAAACTCACTTTCTGTTGCTTCTAAATGTGCAGAAGTAGACCTCTTCAGAAAAGGCAATGAGAGCTGGTATTATGCAGTCAGATTACTCATCCAACAAAATTAATTTCTAAAAAATCTATCCAATACTGCTCCAGTACAGTATATGGATATCCTGTACCGTCAAATTGGGGGATGGGAATCTTCCAATATAGGATGAAAATAAAAGAAAGGCGAAGCTACACTTTTAATTTCATTAAAGTGGATGTTTGAAAATTATCAATAGCTGAGATGAAACAGAGGATTGCACATCAGGACTCTGCATCTTCTGATGTTTACATGATTGCTCACAGAATCATTAGCTGACAAATCAAAGTTCACATTTGTTTCTTTAATAAAACCCCTCTTTGCGATCTGGTAAAACAAGGTACATTCGTTCTCTCTATTAGCATGGGGTATTTATGCTTCTCACTGGAGTAAAACTACTGTCAGCTAGAACATAGGAATACAACAAAAGTGTTCTTGAAGCATATCCTGACATTTATTCCGTAAGAAGGCTAAAACTGGATCATACAAAATTGGGTGCAAAATCTGACTTCTCTGGGGTTATGTTCAAACTCAAAATAAATGAGTTAAAAGCATAAATAGACAAAGCGAGCATGCTTACCTCTTCATTTTCATTTTCCTCTTCAACTTCTTCATCTTCCTCTTCAGCAGCCAGATCTTCTGCTTCCTCATCTAAGTCTTCAGCAGATAATTCCCAACCATGATATTTAAAAGGCTCTGGAAAGGTTATTATTTTTTTTCTGTTTCAGTATTTTTCATTTGGCCATGCTAGAATATATTCTCTTTGTCCATAAAAGTAAGAACATATGTGAAAGCAAATCATGCCAACTGTATGTTGCATTTCTCCTACTTACAGAACAAAATGTTCTCCCCGGATGTAGGAATCAATATATTGCTTCCTCCAAAAATGGAAATTCTACTGGTTGCTTTTTGGTTGAAGTAAATTAGTATTTTCAGTGGGAACTTGTAATACAAAACTATTACACAAACACACACAGATAGTGCCATTACTGTTTGCAACAGGTTTTTTCCTATTGTTCATTGGGGGAGATCATCAGTCAAATTTTATTTGATTGTAAAGCTAGCACAATAGATATTTTGGTTAATAAAACACTTGCATTGTAGTAATGATAGGAAAAATGTAGTATTAATATTTTTATCCAGTACTCAAAATTGTTAGAGATTTGAGCACACAAGTGAAGAAAGGTAATTTGCCAAAAAAATATCAATACTGTAAAAATCCAGTCTTGAAACACAATCTCTGCAGGTGGTTAGATTAGATTATTACACACCCTGAAAGTCTCCTTGACTTCAATGAATATTGTACATTAGTGAACCTTTGTTATCTGTACACGTCTCAAGCCACTATCCTGACATGAACAGATAGAGCAAGTAACTTTGGAAATGCGCTGTTAGGGAGCTATTATGTACATATTTGTATAGCCATATATAATTTTTTTTCAAATATATACATTCCCCACTCTTCCTATGTCTTACAGGCTGCTAGAGTGCTTTTTAGCTCACCCACAGAACACAGCATGTCCTTTTTCCACTTCATGTAATACAGAGCTAAGTATAACCTACCCCCCAATATATCCATCATACGAGCTCTCCAAAATCCCTTTTGGTAAGTTAAGTGTAAATCACATAAACAGTATTACTTACTTTCCATAACCAGCACAGTCTGATTAAGCAGACTTTCTGGAGTTTGCTCAGCAATCTCTAAAACAACAACCTGAACTAGAGATGACTGCTTGATTTCTGACTCCACTGTTTGCCAGTCATGCATGAAAAGGTCAATCTTCCTTTTAATTATTTCCATTTCTGGTATATCTGGAAAATCATCCTCTGCAAACTCAGGTAGTATGATTTCTGAAAAAAAATAGTATACAGAAGGCAATGCTTCTCTAAAATATTTTGCCTTTAAAAATCATCATTATGCTTTAGGATTATTTTTATTTTCCTCAAATATTGTATTCCTCAAATAGATATTGTTAGGCCCTGAAAGTCCTGAGACAAAGTTCTATCTCAGCTAGAAGAAGATACAGAGGTGCCTAGATGAAACCATCACCTTGTCCTTACTAAATCACAAACAGTCTCTGGCAGCAGCAATGTGGTATTGTCACTGCTATTCCCATTCCCTGCACTCATGTAATTTTCAACCCGGATTTTCTTCTTTTTCTTATCATTTTTCTTTTGTGTTCTGTTTAATAAGTCTGATATCAGTGCCTTCAGCTAACAGACAGAAAAGCAGTTGAGAGCAATCACTTAAATGGTGTGATACTACTGTAAGTTTGATGGGACTTACAGTGTACGCTGTGTTTGTCTCTTGCCAGAAATGAAGCTGCAAGAAAGAGCTTGGAACAGCGGATGGAGTGATTTTCTACTTTGCTATAATTTTCCCCTCCTCTTGTTGTTTCTGTCTTGTTTTGAGTTTGAAAGAGCAGGAACAGATTTTGACACAAGCAACAACAGGTTCAGTCTATTCCAATGAGCTTTTACCAATTTTTACAAAAAAAGGACCATTACTACTATTTTTCCTTATATAACTTCCTAAACATAAAAAGGACAGGTATTACTAAAAATGAAAGCCTTACATAAGGCCTTGTATGTTAAAAGCTTTGACGATTTTCTTGAAAATACAAAACCCCAAAACATTAAAAAAACAGTGTTTTATGGTTACTCCCTGGCATTAAGAAGGCCAATGCTCACTGAAATTGCAGCATTGTAACATTTGAGTTTGCCCCAGCCTGAAAAATCCAAACAATTTTTCTGGCTCATGAAGAGTTAGATTGCCCTGTTACAATTTTCTTCTTTAAGAAAACTAGTATTTCCTCCCAGAACTGAATATCTCTGAGTCTTCTCTTGTGGATTGTTGAAGAAATCCACAGATGCCACATTTAATTTTCCCAAATAGAGCCAGATCAAAAAACACTATTACCAAGTACAATGTAGCTGGATTTCAGTGATTAGGTACTGGTAACATTTGGCAGGACTCAAGACTAAACATAATGGTCAGAGTAGAGATGCTGCCTAACTTTTGTCTAACATGCTACCAACTACCGCATCACCTGGAAATGTCAATAGCAGGTGGGATATGTGAGCGCCTGCAGGACAAGGAACATGTCTAACAAATTTTTCTGACTTGGATGGCTAAGCTACCTATGAAGCTATTATATCAAAAGTCAGTGCCACTACTGTCTTCTAGAAGAAAGCAAGGCAGTGCCCTGCCTCCAGTGAGTTAATTGCCAAAGAGGTAGTTAGGGACTCCCGTTCTTTTGTCATTGGCCAAATTTAAAAAGATGCAGGGTTTCAAATACATGCCTCCTCTTGCCCTTCCTTCATGGCTCACTAAGGCTGGCCCCTTGCTAGTGTGCTACTTGTTGTGCCTATTTCTACAACCCTTAATTCCATATATGAAGCCAGGCACTTATAAGTTAGTATGGTAGTTTGGGGCACTGCGGTGTCTACATCTCCTTATGGGTCTGGGTCTTAATGTGTAGTTGTCTAGAAATACAGTAAATTTCTAGATACTTAGGTGCTTTTGAGAATTCTATTCTTCCACTTATGAGGCTGAAACTTTTATTCTCTCAATACCCCCATTTACCTCTACTCTATATACGATAAACTGAAATTTGAAACAAATCAGGCCCTCTGTGGCAATTCATATGCTGGCTCAGGGCCCTGAGGGCACCCCTGGGCCTGGCTGGGCTGTCCCTGCCCAGGCCCGGGACCCCACGTCAGCCCCGGGAGCTGTCAGCCCCTGCCCCAGCCACGCTGCAGCAGGGCCAGTCTCCAGCTCCCCATGCTCGGCCATGGGGTCTGCCAAGCTGGGCCCACCCACGGGCCGACATCCCAGCTCGGCCTCAGCTCGTCCCTGTCCCCAGGGAGGAGCCCAGTGCCCAGGGCCAGAGCTGCCCGGCTCCTGACAGCCATGTTACCGCACGGTGCTGCCAGCTCCCTGTTCCTTTGGGAGCAGTTGGCCCTCGTGGTGTGCTGACATGCTGTCCCCAAGATGAACTGCTAAACTTTATTTTAATTGAGCCACTTCTAAAGAATAGCTTAACGAATAAGCATTTCGGCAAGTATTTCTGTGATATTTTATAACAAAGAATACTTAATGCATTTCCCCTCTTTTCTTTACAGCTCTGAACAACACAGCTGTTAGATTGACACCTCAGTGGCTAACCTTCCCTCTGTTTGAATGATTATTAGTCCAAACATAAACCAAAACTGCAAAAGGGCATATCATTAAGCAGAAACACCTTGCAGATTTCAAATAGTCTGATCCTGAATTGGAAACCAATTTTTTTCTTGAAAATGTTTATAAACATTTGCATTTTACTAAATTACACATTCATTCTATATGGGTCATTCCATTAGTTATCCCCTACGATGACATTTCTGTCTCTTGCCATGATTCTAAATAGCAACATGAAAATACCTTCCCTTTTATGTATATCAGAAGATGTTGTATAAACAGTACAATTAATTATGTTGCATTATGCAGTGATGTATTCCAAATGAGATGGAGATGTAGTCAGGTAAAACCTGCTTCAATCTGGGCAGCTCTAATGCATTATGTAATGATGATTCCATTAGGAACACATATTTTAAGAAAATAAGCAAAGGATACATTAATAACTAGGTTACTCTAACTGCTTTTAGCACGTGTTATCCCTGGCACATTGACACTGTAGAAATCACATGTGCTGCCTTGTGAACCACAGTCCTATTCAAAGCAATAAAGTATAGAAGATGGTAATGCGTGCTGTCTGGATCTAGCCTTCAACAGATCGACTTTTATAGTCCTGCTCTTTAAAAAACATTCCATTCTGAGTAGGTCATGAGACTTTGGAAATATACAAGCTATCCAGAACAATGGATTTAAATAAATATTTGACATCATCTGAGACAGAATATTGAACATGGTAACAAATCCACTCAACAGAGTGCTTCCCATATGAACCTTAACCTCAGAAACACTTACAATTCATGTTATACCTCTCTTGATAGGCTGTATTTAGCAAATGCTGGACCAGCATGTGTTCCAGCTTTGATCCTCTACTCTAGGCACATAATTCCAACAGATTACCTCTATCTGAGATTTTTCTTGCTTAAGGAAACTTATCCAGCAGCAATTATTGCATACTTATGGAGCTTTTAAATAGATTACACAGGCCTGAACTGCAGAAACTTTCCCCTGGAAAGTGGGGAGAAGTAACAAAAGAAGAAAGGATTACATTTGTAGGGAAAAGGGACAACCCAAAACCTGGAAAACCCAAACATTATTTGGTTTTGGTTTAGGTATTTGAACCTTATTATGACAAAAATGTTGCCTCCCTGGCATTTCGTTTGTTTCAAATTGGGCCTCAGGGACCAGAAATACTGAAAATACTTTAAAGTAAGGCAGTTGTACCATTGCCATTAAATATAAGTTATAATAATTCTGCTTGCAGAGGTGATGTACAGTAAGAAGATATTTTTAAAGAAATAAGAAACACAGTCAAGAAAAATACTTGAAATGATAGTAATGGTTTAAAAATAAATGGATCTAAAAGAGCAAACAAGTTTTCTTCAGAGGAGGTGGCGGTCTATACAACAGTGCTGTTCTTAATTTCTTTTCCTTATCACAGAGGTGATAGGAAACAATCCTCCCCAGCCCTAATTCTGGAGCTTTCACAGGGAATGCCTATATGGCAATCTCTCATATTCTTCTGCTCTGTGCCTCCTTTGCCTTTACTGAGCATAGTTACCATAGAGACACACAATCCTCAAAGGCCTTCTGCCCCCACGCTCTCCAACTGAGTTGCTGGGGAAGGAAAGGTTTTAGTAGCTTTTTTCCAGTGTTCTGCTAGTATTAGATATGACTTGTCCTGGCCTCAGTCCATATTCAGCAACAAAAAAGATGAAAAAATCCTTCTTTCCTCCCCTCTCAAACCCTGCCAAAGCTGAGACAGAGACACCAGAAGCCAGCATGTCTTCTTCATTAGAGTTTAACTATCAAAATAAACAGAAAGGCAAAATGTAGGATAATAGTGACACTTCCGTTCCTTGGAACTGATATGTATTTCATTATGAACATATTTTCATTTGTCTTTTTGAAACATGTCGTTTGCTTATACAGACTTTTCATTACTTACTTATAAATATATGCTGCCAAATAATTTTCAGCATGTTACAGTGAAATGTACTTAGTAGGCAAACTTATATTGTGTGTACTGATTTATGGTTTTTGGAAAAAAAAAACAGTTTGGTTTACAGATTGAGTTGATTCTTTCCAACGCATAAAAATGTGGGTATTTAGCAACTTGCTATTTAAAATAAGACGTTTTATGTTGGATTTATTTCTCTTTTGCACTTCAACATATTCTAAAAATTCTAGTAGATAAAAGCTAAAATGTATATTTTAAAAACTAAAGCAGACTGTCTCCATTAAAGATGAGTTGCCTGCAAAATGCTTTTTGAGAGAAGGCTACTATAAGATTTTGTATATCTTTTCATTAGCTTATGGTTCTGTGGAGTTCCCTGTGCTGCCGAATTTTACCTTATACCAAAAAGAAGAAAACATGACTCCGTGTGAAATCTAGCAACCTATTAGTAGGACAATGGATGACTAAGGAAAATACAGAACATATTTTGATCATTCACATCCAAAGTTAAAATTAATCCATTCCCATTTTTCCCAAGATCCCTTGCCACAGGGAATGGTCTAGTAATTTCTGATTAACATGGGTATAACGTTAATTTTAAAAATGGTCTGTAGAACCAGGGTTTGTTAAAATCACATGTAGGTGTTTGTGAATACTGCAATTTGATTATTTCCTGGGGTTTTTTTCCCCATTTTTTCCTGGTATTTTCTTCTTTCTACTTTTTCTTTTTTGGGGGGTCACAATCCATGAGAGTGACTTTCTAAAGTTTTTTTCCCTCTGATTTCCCTCCCTTATTATGCTCATGGATTTCTGAATACAAGAGGTTATCTCAACCTGGAATTTCAGCAATGCTCACCTTATTTGATATTTCCATAGATCTCTGTACACATTTATTAATTTGGTATTTAGGCAGTAGAGGCATTAGTGGGAGACTATTCCATTATAAACTTCTTTAAAAGAAAAAAGTTAAGGTAAGGAATGATATTTACAGCCAATTTTCAAATATAGTAAAAGCTTGCAGAAAAGAAAGGCATACAATTCTTTATACTAGCCAAGTAAGAGAGATTATATGTGCTACAAGGCCAACCTGTAGGTTTAGATTCTTCCTTATAACCTGCAGAGTCAGTGGACTGTTTCTGGGGCATTTGTTCAGTTTCTGGTGGGAGCTGCTCATCATTGTCTTCAAATTCTGTTGGCACAAATGAAATCATTAGTAACTTTAGCCAAGCCATTGAGGGGTGATGAAGGCACTATAGAAATAAAGATATTTTTGGATCATACTGCAAAACTTTTTATTTGATCACCTGCAAAAAAAGGAGTTAATTACTCTAATGATCAGGTATTACACACTGACCAAAACATTTTAAGATCAACTACCTGATCTATGGGGAAAGGCAGACCATCTGTCAGATGCCACATGACTGTCAATAAAGTGGAGAAGTACTTTATTTAATTCAGTGCTTTTATGTAAGAATATTTTTCATTATAATCTATGTGTTCTGTGCTCAAACTATGCTCAAAAACAAGACCTTGCAAAAGAGTGCACTTTGTGTTCTACAGAACAGCTCCTATTGGGCAGAAGTGCTTCTGACCTGAAGAAGGGCTTGTGCACCTGAGGATTGGTGTAATTTTTCCAACTGTATCCGTTGGTCAATAAAGAATATAACTTTTTCTTATAAGCCTTTTTTTGCTTATGTCCTTAGACCACTGTTAGAGTAATAAAACACCACTAGTACGTCTCAAGTTATGATTACCCAAACCTCAAATCATATTAAACAAGAATGTATTTTAAAATCTGAAATTACAGCATTTGTTTTCAGGTACATCTCTTTTTTGGCAAAGAAACCACAAACATCATGAAAAACAGGTTGGAAGCATTGAATTTCTGATTTATGAAGAATCAGGAAACTTTATCTCGTAAACAAGCATCTTCTTATATGGTTAGCAGACAAAAACCCACAAACTTTAGCATGTGTCAAATTGAGAAAATTCTTCACTTATTCTAATTCTTCATTTCCTTTTGATATATATAGGAATGCAGTCAAGCAAAATCAGTTTTGATACTCTGTAATAAATAAATCAAGAGTCCATAATATACACAGAGAGGAAAAAGACATGCAGAAAAATATGTGCAAAATGGAAGACACTTTGTTAAGGCTGTCAACATGCAAATTCTCACATGCATACATAACTTAATCACAGACAGTCCTAGAGACTTCAATGGAAATCGCTGTGGCATAGAAGCTAATCATGTCTAAATTTTTACAGTGTGTCTAAACACTTAAGAGATTTCATTTACAAGACTGGTGCCGGATAGGGTCAAGGAAGACAGATGGATAGACATTAAACAAAGTAAATTAAGAAGATGTCCTTTTTCTTGTAGATATTCAGAAAGTGACAAGAGCTTTCAGAGATGCTGATAGCTCTAATCATAGCTTTTGTTCTTTTTTTCTGAGAGGAATGCATAGCTGTACTAAACCAATACCCCTTAGCCTTTATTTCTCTGAATGAGAGACAAAAGAATTTAAGAACTGAATTTACTTGGGATCTAACTGAGAAAGTTGTTCATAACCTTTCTGTTTCAAATTTTGAAATTTCTCTGCCTAAAATGCTGTGATTACAGGTGTTAAAATGTAATTATCATATCTGGCTTAGGAAGGAGGGCAGAAAATGGCTTTGAAGATCACGCAACTTTGCTCAAAGACTGAACAAACTGTGAAGTTAATATGCTTGCTTTGAAGCTTGTGGTACAAGTAATTTGCTATCCCTTGACTGCAGAATAATAAACTGTCCTTGTTCAAACTCTCTCACTGAAAAGCCTCCAGTTAGAGGTAGAAAAAAAAACAAATCGGGATGCAAGCCAGCCAAGAAAAACAAAGTTTTTATTGGTTATATTTATCTCCAAATATATTTAGAGGCTGTAGGACCAAGCACACACCAACTGCCTGCTAAATGTTATAATTACAGTTGATTCCAAAAAGCATTTCTCTTCAAAGACTAACGAGGAAATATCCTAACATGCACAGGTTTAATTATTATTATATTTATTTTTTGTTGCTGTTTAAAATATCTTACTGAGTTTAACATGATGATAAAAGTAAAAAAGCAAGAACATAAAATAAAAGCTGAAGAGATGGATTCAACCCTCCACCATCTGTAATATGAGGAAGGGAGTGTTGGTATCAATATTAAAGAGTTCATAACAAATATCGATATTGACAGCTGTGAAGGATAGTCACAGGAGGCAATGGCTGGAATTATCAGCTCCAGCTACCCATTTATTTCTTGCAAGAGCTTCTGCCCAAATAGCAAGAGTAGCAGAAGAGACATCAGTGAAGATAGGGTTGTACTAACACACCACCCTGAGCTACTGAGGCACAGACATACATATGCTCCAGTTGAGTTTGCTGTAAGAAGGGGGTAATCTGTGGCAGAAAAGCAGGGCTGACAAATAAAGTACAGAAAATAAAAGTCTTAAACCATGACAACTGTTTGCTTTGGTGGATAAGACTAATTGCATGGGATATTTTATTGCTGAAACGTGACACGCCAAGTTTTACTTCAGGAAGATTGGAATGAACTCACAGATCTACCTGAAGCTGCATAACTCTTCTACAATGCCTGAAATATATTCTCATGAATTCATATAGCTGTCTCCTAGTATAAATAAATCCATACTCATGCAAAACTGCTGCAAAAATGCTTAAATACAGTAAGAAATTCCTCAAAATAATTTAAGCTTAGAATAATTGTGTCAAGGGACATGAAAAAAGATGTGGGGCTATAATTTTCAGCTAGACACTACAAGCAAGAGTTACCACATAAATTGTTTTGTGTACCTTCAACAGACATTTTCGGCATTGAACCTAGCTTCCTAACCCACTTAAATACATTTGTTAAATTGACCCAAATTCTCCTTCTCCATTTACTTTCACTCTCATTAAGACATGTGTAAGTACCTTGCTCATTACTGGAACCATTTTTTCCTTTGAAACACAAAAAAATACAACAAATTTGAATATGTTCAGTCCTGAAGCAATCCCAGTTACTTCAATGTCCCACTAAGGTTACAAAAATTGCAATTATTGAAATGCACATTTATTTATATAGAATAGAATAGAATAGACGATTTCAGTTGGAAGGGACCTACAACGATCATCTAGTCCAACTGCCTGACCACTTCAGGGCTGACCAAAAAGTTAAAGCATGTTATTAAGGGCATTATCCAAATGCCTCTTAAACACTGACAGACATTGGGCATCGACCACCTGTCTAGGAAGCCTGTTCCAGTGTTTGACCACCCTCTTGGAAAAGAAATGCTTCCTAATGTCCAGTCTAAACCTCCCCTGGTGCAGCTTTGAACCATTCCCATGTGATATGATATATGAGACATCAAAAGAGCACAATTAGGGCTCTAGAGTATTTTTCTAAGCTTTCATTTTTATACCGTAACTTCTATATTAAAAAAACCCAAACTGTGAACACATCATTCATTTACATTTTTGTAAAGACATGTCACATGGGAGAAAAGCTGCAGTCAATGTGCTGATAGCACTACATGTGAAATAAAACAGATGTCAGGCTAAGAGCAGCATGACTGAAGTGTTTTGGTGAGTCAGTATTTGATTATTGAAATCAAACGTAGGCGTAGGAAAACATGATTTTCTCTGAACAAGGACTTATCACGTGTTACGAGCACAAGTGTGTGTATGACATTATTACTTCTATCATTAATAATTGTTGTTTTGATGTACTCAGATCAAAATGAGTTAGATATTCAAAACTAAGATGAACTTTGTTGTTTGAGACAGAGGTAATAGAGTATCTGTTTAGAACCCTTTCTATTTAATACTTCAGAAGTCATTCACTTTGGAGAAGAGCTATGTGTTTTATTAGAAACCATAAAGAGTTATAATGTAGAATTTTTTTAAAGTTTATATGTCATTTAAAGAACCCTAAAAAGCTAGAGTATTTTTTTCAGAGAGTAGGTGAAAAGTTACCTAATTAAAAATTAAAAGCATGTTATCATATTCAGTCTATCTTATACAACCTTTACGACTTAGGCCTTGTTACATATATGTAAAATAAACGCCAGACTGGATAATGAAAGAAAGTGTATGTGAGACACATTGACAATAGAGAACTTAAGCTTGGCCATAATATTTTTCTACAGAAACCAGTATGTTATGTTTGAAAGGAAGACAGTAATGGCAGTCCACAGCTGAGAGAAAAAAAAAATAAAGTGGGAATTCATGCGCTTCAATTTTTAATTTCAGCTCCAGGCATTAGGTGATAATTTAGGCTATGATGGAGAAACCTTGAGATCCCACAGCAGGGGAAGAAAATACTCTAAAGTCCCCAACCTAGTTCTTAATGTAGAGACAGATACTCGTGCATGTTACTTCATCTTGACAGCAGATCCAAATCAGACAGCAACATTCTTCTAAGAAAGTAGGCAGTGATTAAAGAAGGCAAAAAGGAAAGTACAACCCTGCAACTTTTTTGACTGTTGAGGTTCAAAAACATTGAAACTAACTGGAATTAATTCTAAACCTCGACCCAACTAACAAAATTGTGTGAGTTGCAAAAATCCAGCCTATTTGTGACAGCTGGCCTGCCCCCAAAATCTCACTCCTCACAGATTATTCACTCCTGCCCAGGACAATTATATTTTAATTGCTGGAAACAAAGTATAGCACAATTCTGGTATAAAAGTAGGATCTTTACAGGGAATAAAGAGTGGCTAAACAAAAAATAATATGTGGTTTTGTCAATACAGAAAGAAGCAACATAAGAAAATCTTTACTCAAAATGTTTTATTGTTATTAGAGGGGAAACCTCATGTAATACACATAATTCCATTATTTTTTATGTTGTTAGGTTATGTTATTAAAGGCTAATCTCCATAAGCAGAAAGAAGAGGAGGAACAATGACAGGTGGGGGAACCGCAATAACCTAATCAGAACAAACATAACCTTGACTTGGCTCCCCTCAGGGTCATTAAAAAAGGATGATGAAGGCATTGTCTGGGTGTGAGATCTATTGAGATGAGTCAACCAGAGAGGCTCTCCCTAGCTGAGGGGGGATTTCTGCCTACAGGGTATGAGATTCATTAGGGGATGCCAGGAAAAGCAGTTTGGGATTGTGACAAATTTATAATATTATAAGGCATTTCTGAGAAGGACCAAAGGCAAGGAGAAGGAGGGATCAAAGTGGATTGAGGAGGAACTAGCATGGATAAAAGAGTAAGAAGAGGATGAAAGGGGAAATGGGAATACATGCTCAGACTCATTACTGCATGGTCCTGGGGACATGGAGCTGCCGCAGCCTCACATCTGCTGGGCGACTTGGATTCAGTAATTCATAATGTATGTTGCTACCAGATTCAGCAATTCTTAATGCATGTTAAGAGAGCCACTCCTGAAATAATTTCCATTCCCCTTTAATTGCTTCAGGTTGAGCTTCTTGAAGGAAGAACAGAAAATCAGACAGTTTCGCGATTTTCTTATTAGCTGTTGGCTAAAGTTCTAACATTGTTTTCTAACTTGTGAGGGGATACAGATTTTTTGATAAGTAGGAAGTTTCAATACAGTTAATAACCCACTTAGAAAAGTTACTAGAGGAGATAGAGAGTCCTGTCCTTCAGATTTATTGAAAACAGTAACTGTGCTGGCTGATTTAATACATGTCTTTATTCTGTAACATCCATAAAGAATGACACATAGAAATGAGTGCCTGAATCAGTGGAGGAACCAAAGATAGTAATATAAAGTCATTTTTCTAGATGCTGAATGTAAAAATAAATAAATAAAATAAAATAAAAACTGTAAAATCTGCATAAAAACCAAATTGCTAAACGATTTGAAACACATAATTAGATAAAACAGAAGTCAAATGATACACACTTTCACCTTTCTCCTCAGCAGCCTCTAGAGATTGGTCTTCCTCTGATGTCAGTATTTCTTGCATTTCTTTTCTGTAAGTAAAAGATTATTCATCTTAAGACTTATATAAATGCTACTGGAGAAAGTTGCAGATATATTAAACGTAAAGGAAAAATGTGGAAATGTACTATTGGAAATTGAAATATAATTTGAGTTGTATGAAATAAAAAACATATATATTTTATCATCTAAAATGTTATTGTCTCTTTGAATCAAAAAGCTAGACTAATGAAAAGCTAATGAAAAGGCATTTAGCAAGAGAATCTTCTGCCACCATATTTGCTGATCTAAATGAGATAGTCCTCAAAGTTAACACATATTGGCTTACTTCCTACACATCACAACTAGTCTTAGTGTACTGTTTTAGTACATTTGTGTTGATAAATGCACCGATACCTTTAAAAGAAAGGCTAGAATTTTCTTGTGCTCATTTTATATGTTCAGACATTTGGAATATTTTACCTTGCTTCTTCATCTTCTTTCTTTTCTAAGGCTTCATCTGTTAGTCTTTTCAAAATCTTTGAATTAATTTCATCCCTATTTGCTAAGTATGTCCTGCGTAGTACACAGGCTCCTGCAGTACAAGTACACAACAGTAATGAGTTTTATGCATCTGTATAAAATCAAAGTTGAGTTAGGAAAATTATTTAATAAATGATAGACAACTTTCTTACTTCTTTTTAAAGCCATATATACCACTGAAATGTTATTATACTGTTGCTTTCTAAGGTTTTAGAGCTTTGCTTTCAATTTCAAGCACCTAATAAACTGAGTCTGGGATATGGGAAGGTTATGATGAAGACTATAAGGGGAGACAGCACTGAAAGTATTTATCTTACATTTCCGTATATCCTGCATTACTCTGGCATTTATATTGTTTGTATGTGTACAAGGAAAACTAGGAAGAAACAAATGAAAAAGATTCAAATAAAAATATAAAGAATGTACATACCTATACTACTACAGCTGGTTGACAGAAATGAAGAATATGCTCTTCCTACTAGGAACGTTACTGACTTATTTACTTTGGCAAATAGATTTATGGTTATATGGCTGTGTAGCTGAAATCCATTTCCATTAGTGGAGTTATGCAAGTTTAGACTAGTTCAGGGAACAGCTTACAAAGTAATGAGTCAGAATGCTGTGAAAATGTAAACTCCACAACTACATTATTATTTAAGCAACAAAAATTAGTGGAAATCAAATAAAGAGTTAACACAATTGCCCAAATGAAAAAGAAAAAAAAAAAGAATAGCTAAATTCAAGGAAACATATCCATAAGCAAAAAGCTACACTTTTAGGCAAAACCTATAGCAGACGTTACCATCTAGTGTCTTTCACCTCACTTTACTCATACTTGTTCCTCCCATATCTCACATGATCACTATCATCAACTAACATAAAATGTATTTTTATCTAAATTTGAACTGTGAGAAACATGTTACTTAACTGTTAGGAACATTGGTGTTGATCTGAAGCAGATGATAATTTTGTGTGGATGGTTTGTATTTTAAACCAATACTTTCTATTAAATTTATTTTTTAAAAAGGGAGGTTGAGTGAAGGGAATTTTTTAAAAATGTAGTTTGTAAACTCATCTTTACATAATTCTGTCTCAGTATTCTGCAAAAAAGTTGTGAGAGTTTTCAGTGGCTTTGCCTGGTGGCCCAGGCATGCACTTTCCCACGTTTGTGTTTTCTCACAGTATTATGAGAAGCAGCAATGCCAAGGAGCATTAATTTACTTCATTATTCAGAGTCCAAATGACATTGAATTAAAGTGAAGCAGCTTTAATTACAGGATTATCATATGCAGAGCATCCAGAAGAATCACAATTACTATACTATAACTAACCATTCTTTCTTCCTTGGGTACCAGCACATGTGTTTCTCACTCAAAGGATTCAATATTGTTTCATCTGATGAAGGATTTCAGTATTACTTGATCAAATTGAGCAAGTGACCTATAAGCCTTTAGAATAATGGATATTAAATTAGCAAAGTTCTAAGTGGCTGAGCTGAGAATAGCTGCTACTGGTATTAACCAGAAATAAGCTAGCTTGCTAATGGAGCAGGTTCATAAGCAGCTCAGCTGATTCTGGTTGAAAGAACAATGTTCTTCCAATGTCCTGTTTTAATGCAACTGGAAGTCTGTTAAGAAAATCTCTATGCTACTATTATATTTCACTTCGATTTGTTATGATAGGCTACAAATAGTATGACTTGTATTCAATTTGCACATGACTTGTTTCAAGCCAAGACAGTAAAAATATATGCTTTATCATTTAAAGTATGTTAATTCATTTCCTCCTACCACTGAATGAAACTGAAGAAAAATAAGTTGTCATTGATTCATATGAAAGCCTGATACAGCTCCAAGGATAAAATTAGGGTATAGACTCATTATCATCTCAAATACATTAAAAATGGGAATCATGTATTTATCTTCCAAGCCTGAAATCTACTTATACATAGGGCCAAATGGGTTGTAATTAAGAAAGCAGTCTTTTTTGCTATGTGATATAAGGACTATAACAGTGTTAGTTCAAACAGAGGCACCATCAGGGTTGTAAGCACAAAATGTAAGTTTCATGAAGGACCTCTCTAAGTTCTAGGAAAGACTTACGCTTATGCTTTAAAGAATCTGCCATCTATCAGACTAGAGAAACAGAAGGTGACTGTGTGGAAGAGATGGCTACCAAGAGTATAAAATAGATTGTTCAGATTAGAACAAGTAATTGAGAGCTAGGTTTTGAGAGCTAGTGGGAATGGCAGAAAGGTGTACATTGCAGGAAGGAAGCACATAATTTGAAAGCCCTAGAGAGGTCTTAATTTGAAAGCCTCTGTTATGGACTCCCAAGTTCTTCCTTTCCCAAAAGAAAAAAATTGGGCAGTTACTATTGACCAGTTTTCAACATGGTTCCCATGAAGAATTATCTATTCCCAAAGTGTCTGATCTAGAATAAAGCCTTTCAGGGACAATGAGACAACCTTTTCTTTTATCCAATTAATTCACTAATTTGTTAAATTCTGAGAAGTGAAGAAAAAGTTAATGTAATTCTGAAAGCATCTCTCCCACCTCAGTCCTATCCCTGCAGAAAAGGCTAGAGCTTGACTCTTGCTGTTATTTAGTACACTGGATTAACAGTACATTACTGTGTGCCAACTACATGAATAAGGTGCTTTTTCTGGTTGTAAGAAAGGACAATGCAGTGTGTCCCAGAAATCAGGTTCATGAACATTTCAATATGCTTGAAATGTCTGGGAAGCAAAGATGAGGCATGGAAATGCAATTTGTCCTTAAGTTCTTTCTGTAAGTATCTGAGATGAGGTCTTCTTGAGTCATAGGAACAGTAAATACAATTTTCCAACAAACACTGGATCTAGAACTTTCTCACAGAAATGTTCAGTCTGTATTTAGTCTGTATACAGGCTCCAGGCACACTGGAAGACTTTTAGTTAAGATGTTTAAGGTGTTACAAAATTTTACGAAGCTATGTGACTAAATAGTTCAGGTACCATAGCTGAGTTGTGAGGATCATTAGCTGATCAGAGGACATGCTTCTGAAAAGCTTTTTTTTTTTTTTTTTAATATCTGTTCCGAGTAAACTGTGTAACCTTAATTTGCTCAGGTTGATTTTTATATTCAGGGATAACGGTTTGAAAAGCTCTCTGGATTGAATCTAATATCGGGCAGTTATTGAGCTTTCTTGAACTAAGTGTGAATAGACCTATCATTCTTTTCTTGAAGGGAAGTTTCTACTACTGAAAGGCCTTTTATTAAAGGACTGAGTTGAACAGGTAATGACCAAACATTGCCACAGGGCAATGAAACTTGTGGTGTGGTATGAATCAAGCAGGCATAATCCATTAAGACATGATTTGGCAGGCAAAACTTTTAACAGTGTATGAATCTGTTCAGTATTTCATGCCAGGTACCAACCTTCCTTCCTGCTTGAAACAATATAGCAAAAATCCCTTCCTCTGAATTCATGGGTAGTAAGCTATTGTATCAGTCCGTATAAGAAGTTGCTCAACTTTTTTTGACCCCAGGATGGAGAACAGGATACACCTGCATATAGGTATTTCTCCCCTCCTTTTCTCTCAAGCAGAGAAAGTTCACATCTATAACCTGATTTTGCAAGTGGGGAAACCAGTGCACAGGCAGGGAAATTTGACCGAGAGTAACATTGCAATCTGGTGGCCAGCCAGACATGGAATACAAAAGTCTGAAACTGCAAGAGTCCAGTGGTATTTACTGCTGATTGTAAATAGGATTATAAATAGGAGGAATTTCCTTTACTGTTTTTGTAAAGCATTCCTGTTTTCAATTCTGTGTAATTCCCTTATTCAAAATTGTAAGAAATTTGGGGTACCCTTGTTGATTCACTGGATTCTTCCTTCTCTAGACCCCTGAAAATTTATAAATGGGACATAACTACTAGTTTTTCTTATAAGTGTGCTTTATATACAGATATCAACACAGAAAAAAAGAAAATATTAAGTGTCATTAGTGTGCATTTACTAACCATCTTTTTCTGTATTCTTCAGACAGACAACAGTGTCAGGTAGGAGTCCTTTTTCTGACAAAGCTGACCAGTGATCTTCTGACAGAGGGTAGTTATCCACTACCCATCCTCCTTTTTCTGGAGCACCAGGAAACCTGTCTTTGTTCTTCTTCATAAGCTGTTATAAAATGTCAGGTTCAGTAACATAAAAAGACTAAGATAGTCTGTGAACCGTTAAAAAAGATTGCACAATAAAAATTCTTTTCTAAATCTTATGATTTTTCCCTATCGTCATTTCAGGTCAATAAAAAGTAAGACATTTGTAACTTTATATGTCTGAATGAAATAAAAACATTTTAAATAAAAGGAGATTAATGTGCCAGTGATTTTTAAGGTTGCTTATAAAGAATTTAGATTCCAGTTTCAAACAATTTAACACAAATTTAAAACAATTTGAGATTCTTGGATAAACCTTATATACAATTTTTTCAAACACTTTTATCTGGTGTTGAGCTCTTTAATAGTCACTAAGAGTATAAGAATAGGGCAAGCATACAGTGATACTTCCCTCAGATAATTCTCCCAGCCTTTAACAATTTGTAGCCCAGGTACTTTGCAAGACAGAAATAATTTGTATATATACATATAGTCGTCGTCAATAGATTTGTCTTTCATGATCTTGCTCAGTCTCTCCTCAATCCTATGTAAGCTTTCAGACTATGTGATATAAACTAAACTGATCTTTCAAATGGAAAAATTAAGAACATATATTGATAATGTATAAACTGTTACAGGTTGCTCTTAGAAAAAAAGTGCTTTGCTATATAGTACTGGTAGTTTTACCTCTGCAATAGCTCTCTCCAATACTTCAGCATATATTTCTGGTGACAGTGTAACTTCAGAGACTGATGCACTTTTTATGGCTTCTTCTACCATTGCTTGAATTTCTGGGTGGTCAGCAGTTATCTCTGATATTCCTAAAAATATAGGTTGTTTTAAAGCACTTCACAAAATTCTGAAATACTTATTTTCTTTGGCTAGGAATGACTGCTAGGCAATTAAATCCAGCCACTTCATAATTACAGTGCAGCAGTCATTTTAAGCAATATTACACAATCATACTGAGAAAGAATCAAATACCTGTTCTTCTGAATGCAGTTCTAGAGGGTATTTCATAAAGATAAGTTTTAAGATCTTGGCTTGCTCTCTCATTACAAAAAACCCCCTTTTAACTGTACAGTATTTTCTACCACTAAGTGAAATATTGTTTCAATATGAATGGAAAGATGTTTGTATACTAGAACAATCAGGCACCTGCAGCAGCTGAGATTTGATTTCTCTATGATTCCTAAATCAAAAGGTTGACCAGATTAATTTAAAAATCAATTCAAATCATAGATCAAGACAGTATATTGTCAAGAATCAAGAAGCCTGCATTCCCTATGATGCAAAAACCGTTCATATTGGATCCATATTTTGTTACTAATTGCTGACACAATGGACTGTAATTGTTTAAAAAAATTTTTAAGGAACACTCAGAGTTAGGTCACAGTTTACATACTAAGTTGATAAAAATTGGTGAAGAACTGTTTTAAGCAACTGCAGTATCTACTATGTGAAGAGTATAATTTGGAAAAAATGTCGTATTTACTTTCTGTAATTATGCCAAGAGTTTTCACTGATTGTGTTGATACTTTTTACATGCATAAATTTACCCGTTATCAGGTTATTTTTGCCAAGTTACAAGCTCCCTGGGAAAACGACAATATCTTACTGTTTCCATTCTGCAGAAAAACTCAACCCAACCCAATCCCAAACCCAAACAGACTTTACAGTTATCATAGCTAAAGATATTATATTCTCCTCCTCCAGTTCAAGAAATAGATCTTTCTTTAGTGCTCTCTTCAATGTCTTTTGCTGGTATAGAATGTCATAAATTAAAGGAAGAATATAATTGAAGGAACAAATGTTTTTCTTTAACAAGACAATGAAAATTGTAAAACTACCTCATAGCCTCACTGTCTATCCCTGAACTGGATTTGGGAGCACTCAGGACAGTCAGGGGACCATTTAACTAATTAAATTGATATATGTCTTTTGCATAATTTTTAGTGATTCTCTCAAAAGGCAGAATTTACTAGGTAAATAAATAAAATAATTTCATCAGGAATAGGATATACTTTCTGGGACAGTTACCTCTAGATCTAGATTCAAGCTTCCAAAAATATTTAATTTCCCCTTCTGAAGCCTTCTTACTTTCTATGACAATTTACATCCTTCAGCTGTTTGTAGTGCTGTTTTGCAATAAAAGTGTTTGAGCTCTCCAAGTTTATTAATTAAGATTAAGTTCTCATTAATCCTAATGTGATTTCACAAACCTGTCCTCAAAAGTATTTACATAGCCAGGAATTTGGAACATGACACTGTTTAATGGTTTTAATTTTGGTGTCATAGTTCACCATTATTCTTACTGCAACGCCAATGGTTTTTGTATCACTGTCAGCTTCTATGTTTTGCAGCACCAGAGGAATAGACTGCCTTCCTGTCAGATATGTATCTACCCATGAGTAAGTCAAATATGGTGATTCCTTGCTTAGTTGAATAAGGCAAAATGGCCTGATTGTCCATTTGAAACATAACTAGAGCTAACTGGAAAAGGCCATTCCAATTCAATGGAAAAATTTCATTTCAAAAGAAATAATTTTGAAAAAACCCCACTAAATTTCCTGCAAAAAGAAAATCCAAATTTTGTTTAAAAGATATTAAAAGAACATGTTATTTTCACCTTTTCAAAATATTTTCTGAATTCATCAAGCTGCAAAAACCTGGGCAGCTTAAGAAGCCTAAATGTGTCCAGAGCTGGAGAGTCTTGTGAATGTGCCATCTGAGACAGCATAACTTGGAAGGCTGCTCCAAAGTGGAAAATCTGTACATTGTGGGTTCACATCAGCCTAGCTGACAAGCTGCTTTCTTGAACAAAATTTCAATTTTGCAGAGATTTAACTTGTCAGAAAGTCATTCAAAGTTTCCAACCAGTATCAGTCAGAATGAATTTCTTTTTTCAAAAAGAGCTCAGAAAACTCTTTCTTACATATTCATGGTCTCAACTTCAGGGGATTTATATATAATATCAAAAATACTGAATTCTCAAAAATACTGAATACTCAGCTATTCCTTTCACTGCATGTTGTTTTAGTTCATATTTAATGCACAAAAACCGTAACAACTTCTGTAATATTTTGTAAGTCAAAGTGACAGCAATTGCTTCAGTTAAATAACCTAAAGCAAATTAGATAGCTTCAAAGACGATGGAACACCTTATTCACCTGATTCTCTTGACTGTTTTTCTAATTCCAACCTATTTTTCACTGCTGTTATAGCCTTTTCTACTGTATCCCTTCGCATTTGCTCAATTCTTTCTTCTCTTGATTCTTCCATATGGGGTTGAATTAGTTTGGCCATATCAAGAACCTAGTGAAATGATTTGAAAAAATAAAAATATCACAGAAGAGAAATATAGCATCTGATCCAACTTCTATACAATGAAATGAATTTGGAAAAGCTCTGCAAATTTCAGAAAAATTTACATATCATTCAACTCCAGGGGTTTTTTTTTGTGGAAAAAATGATTTCTAATTTTCATTTACATTTAATTATCTTAATACAAAAGTTATTCACAATATTGTTATGCTAAGACAAATAACTGACATATAAATATTTATCTTACATAGAGGGTAAATAAAAAGTATTTTTGAAATTTAGCTACTTTTATATAAATGAATTTCACTAAATTACTGTTTCCTGTGTAATCCATATGTTTGCAATGTGTATGTTAAACACACAACACAATAAGAATGTGCTTAACTGATTCCCAAGCCTCAGCTGATACCCTTGTTACACAAGACATTTATAAACCTACCTTTCCTTTATATTTGTGTGCAATTAGGTTACAAATAGTTGTTCTTCCAGAGAATGGAGGACCAAATACTAGTACTTTACAAGGAGGAAGTGGCATTGGTGGTAACAGGTAAGGCCGTGGATTCAACATAAATGTTTTCAATGCCTCTGGGGATGACAGTACGTACATTTTACCTAGAAAACTTAAAGCAGAAGAGAAGCTAACAGTTATAGACAGTTATATTACAAAATAGAAATAAAAATTAAAAGTGTTGAATTCTGCTAACCTGACAGCCAAGTCTGGGTTTCCCATTACAATATCACCTTCCTTTAGAGCCACAGGACATGCTTGCCCCCACCTGCTTCTACGCCATCGATATCTGTGTGCTATTAGTTTGTAAGATGACAGAACCCGGAAAAGTTCATCCTGTTTATTAAAACAGCAATAACAGCATATGTAATTTTTGCCTGAAGCTACATACATCTTGTTCTTAGCCTGTTTTGAAATATTTTGTTGGAAAATAAGCAAACCTAAAAAGAAAACCACATCACGCTTTTTAAAACATTTTTTAAAAAATACATATTTCAGAAGTGTAGGACAATTTTAAGGAGAAACCATTTAGTTTTTAAATTTTATTTAATAAAAATAGTACTTAAAATAGTTCCTGTAGGCTTCAGTTATTATTTATCAGAAGTTTAAAATGATAAAGAGGTACAAATCAGCCATTTATTGAAGATGACAGAAAATGGCCAAGTTTTCTTCTAAAGGGGATGAAGAAAGGACCACGGTCTGTGTGGGGGAGTAGCAAGGCCAAAATATCTCTTTTAGGCATGCAGAAATGTCATGTGATAGCAGTAAGTTTAATAGACCTTTTACAGAAGGTGAATAATGAGTGAATTCTAAATTTTATAGTGACTCTAAATTATTCAGAATAGTACAGACAAGTGCTGGCTGTAAAGAACTGCAGAAGGACCTCCAGTATCTAGGAAGCCAGGCATTAAAATAGCAGTTCTACACAGAAAACAATGAGTTGTCATTGACTGTCACTACTCAGGAATAGATCTTGGAATTATAATATATACCTCCATGAAAACTGGTCAGTGCCCAGGAGCAGTCAGAAAACCATCCTGTATGTTAGGAATATTTAGCAAAGAGAGAATAGGAGATAAAGGTTTATTTTTCTGTTGCATAAATCCTGCCCTCATGTTTACTGCTATGTGCATTCTGTTACCTTAATCTCAAAAAGTACACAGTAGAATTGGAAAAGTTTCAGAAAAAGGTAATATGATTGATCAATCATACAAAAAGATTTTCATGTAAGAAGAAATAAGATGACATAAACTGGAACTCTTCAGTCCAGGAACAAGACAGCTACATAAGAACAGGACAGAAGTCTGAAACAATGAGTTATTAGAGGGCAGAGACAGAGAACAAAACTATTTACTGACTTTTGCATATCATCTAGAGGACACTGAGCTAAAGGTGGCAGGTTCAACACAACGGAAGCAATTCTATATATAATGTCCAGTTAAGCTGCAGAACTCCTGGACCCAAATACTGTGGACACTAAAAGCTTACACACAGACTATCACAAACACACAGACTAACTAACTAACAAATACAGATGACCTCTGACACAGAAAGTCCCTCACTTGTGAATTTGTCAAGGACTGAGAAAACAGAAAAGTAAAGGAAGGGTGTTTCTCTGAAAATGCATAGCAGGGCCTCCCAGTTACAGTACCATTTATATATTCAAAGTTTTGTTTAAGAAATAGGAAAGATGGCTGCAAGGGAATATAGGTGAAGACATTTATGCAAAGACTTCTGTTTTTCAGTTTTATTTGGAAGGGACGCAAATTATAATTGTCATGATTCAGCAAAATTCAGCACTAACTTTTCATGTTTCTAATTAATTACAGAAAATACAACATATGTGATTTCAGCTATGCAGGATGCTGCTAAATTTGTATTAGCATGCTGTTTCTCATTCAGAAAAATAGTAAAGACTGAGCTAAGAGTCAGCTGCTAAGATTGTTACCTTTTGGCTAAACTTTCTTTATTTTCTTGGAAGGAATTAATTCTTCCTCTATTGCTAAAACAAACATTTTGTTCAAAATTTTATTATAATAATCTAATTTTTTTTTTTAATGACAGACTTTCTTCTTTTCATACTCTTTTAAGTGAATTTCAGTCCCAGAATTATCTTAAATTCACATTTCTGGACAATCAAGGCTCAGAAAATGCCCTTATTGCATGGTAAAACAAGCTGGTTGCTGTGAAACAAAGATGTTATAAGCTTACAGCAGAAAATAAAAAATATTTTTTATACTTATTACAGTCAATCATATTTTAGAAAAGCACACTTACATTTTCCAGTCCCTCCAGTATTTCTTCTTGCTGACTTTGAAGTCTAGTAATAGGAGCTGCATTTCGAACACCCAGAGATTGAAGTCGAACTACTACTGACTGGAAAGAAAACAGGTCTTGACTTAGTACCAATCAAAACTGCTTTTGTGATCCAAAAGGACCCCAAAGTATTTTTAAAATTGTAACTTATTATTTATGTAATGGCTACATATAAACTAAGGCCCAGTTCCTAGCTTGGAGTCATGCTAATTATTGAGCTGAGTTTTAACAAGCTATTTGGTAGATACAGGCAGTGCAAAATGCTGAATCACAGCCTTTGTATCTCCTCATCATGCTATGAATCCCAAGCCTTCTAAAGGAATAGGCTGTGAAGGATTCTTTCCCACAAAGCAGTGGAAGTATTCAGATGAGCTCCAATCTGAAAAGGAGGAAAGTCTCTTTAGGAGATCAGATTATACACACTTGGAAGTAATACAACTTTGGGTTATTTATTCTAAAAGATACTTAAACCAATGTCTGCCAATGAGAATCAGATGATATTAAATTTAATTGAAGTATTTCCTGAATGTAATCTTGCTTGAATGCAAGTGTTCTTGAAATGAAAAAGCAAATGTTGTCATGTTTGGACTAGTTTCATAATAGGTCTTTGCCTTACTTATAATTATAATGGTTGGAATCATTACACAACTTGATTGCCTTTACTATAAATTTTCTGTTGTAATGTTCACAAACAGATCATAAAGGAGGAAATTTTATGTTCCAACTTTGCAAAATTAGTGGTTTTTTTCCCATAGGACTGCTATTGTTAGTAAAGTTAAGCATAAATTAAAATAATACTTACAGAATTATAATTGATTCAACTTGTTTCAAACAACAGAGGGGAAACTGCAGGAGCAGCTCACTTCCTACATTGTCAAAGACAATCTCTCACTTCATTTGCAACCCCATACTTTAGGTTCTGATTTGAAGCAACTCTTATTTCTGAGGCAGAGGATATGATTATTTATCTTCAAATTTTATGATTGTAGTTTTTTAAGAGGGAGAACGAGTTGCTATGTTATGAACTAAAAATCTAGACACAAGCACTCAGCGGAATTGTTAAAAGAATGAAGTGTCTTCTATTACACTGTAAAATAATATCCAAGTTCATTAAAAATCTGTCATTATTTTAGACATCAGCACAAAATAAGCCAATTCTCTAAATATATCATACTGAAAATGTTTTAATTTTTCATGGTAATAATGATGATATTTTACACTAATACACAAAATAAAGTGCTAAAAACAGATGGATACAATAGAAAAGAGTTGTTGTTGCTGCCTGAAAGTATTCTCATGTAACATATATGTAAGCCTGGGGGCAGTGCAGTGAATCTTACAATTGTTTTAGCAGAGCACCAAAAGCAAGCATTTCAAAGGTCATGTTTTCTAATAGTAATTAAATGAGTTTTATACGCAACTTAAAATTTTGCCAACACCTTAATATAGAAAACACTACACAGAATTGAGAAATTATTTTCTAGCGGAGGTTAACTAAGTTGGTGCATAGCTTACTTACTACAAAGAGATCATCTGGTTGCTGATTTCCATCAACTTCAATAAGATATTGGCAATCCTGTTCAGCCATCAAGTCCTGTTTAAGAACCAAGATATACTCATCAATTGAGTATAGTTAACCAGATAATGAGACTGAAGCTCATTCTGTTCCTATACATATCAAAGGCTGGACTCCTTTGGACTTCAGCTAAACCAGGATTCACTGTATTGATGACTTATTCTGGAGAGAAACTTTTATTTGGTGATGGATAAATACAGAGAGAATTCCAAAACTGGAGTTACAATGGGTTCAGAAAACAGATTAGGTATTCTAGCTCAAATGCAAGAGAGCTACAAAGAATCAAGATACAGTAATGTTTTGTGTAAATATTCAACTTCTAATTGTCTAACTACATTAATTCTCTGCCAGAAAATGGTGACAATGTCAATAACAGATTCCTTGGAAATAGCAGCCATGAGACCAATGTTTTCATTTTGGTCCTGACTCTCACTTTCTGTAAAATTTGAACAATATATTTGATTTTTCTTATGTTCAGTTTTCCCATTAGTAAATAAGATATTAGACTAAAATCAGACATCCTATGTCCATTGTTAATGTCTCTGTCTGAGGATTGAGAATACTCACTCCGTTCTTGACAGATGTTGGTCTAACACCAGCTCTGATAAAGCCTAGTGAAGGTGACTTTACAACTTCGTAGATAATTTGTTCCAGTTCTTCACTACACTTATGGTCAGAGTTCATTTTCTTGCATCTAGTCTAATTCTTCTATACTATAAATTATTTGTCCTACCTTTGGTAGAAATAGATAATAATTAATTACTGCTTTCTAATATTCTTCTACAGAGGAGATAATAGTTTGTGTTTCTCTTATACACAATGGTCTCACTAGTACATCCATAATATTTGCTTTTGTACAACAGCATCACATTTATTGACTCAGTTTATGACTAAAACACCACAGATTGCAGATTGTCTGAAGTACTGAGGTCTAGCCAATTATTTCACGTTGTAGTTGTTCATTAGGTTTCCTCCCTAACTGTAGTATTTCACACCTATTTCTACTCAATTTCATCCTAACAACTTACCACGAAATCAAAGTCTGTTCTCCAAAGTTCTTTCGACCTATCCCAGTTCACTGCAAACTGCACATCTTACAAGTTTTTTACAATTTCATCATCTCAACCTCTACCTGGGCCAACGATAGATCTGTATGTTCTTTTAATGTATTAGTGGATCACTAAGTATGTTCACTAATACATTCATCATTAGTGAAGCCTAAGTAAGACCTACCAACTAGTGGCATGTGTTGAAAATGTTGAAGTTTGGTGTACATCCTGAAGTAATTTAATCTAAACAACTTTCTATTAGTTTGCTTACGAGAAATCCATGTGAGATTGTATAATTGACTCTCCTTCACAGCAGTAACAAGTTTGTTACTCTAGCGAAGAACATTATACCAGTTTTACACAATTTTATCTATAGGTTTGTCTAATCCATAGGGAAATTGAAGGGCATAAATAAACAGTAATTGTCAAGTGTGCAGCAAACATGAGGTGTTTGCAGTTGCTTTTACCAGGAGATTAAAAAAAAAAAAAAAAGAAAAAAAGAAGAAAAAAATGAATTATTGCTTTGGACCTGTTCTGGTTTTGGGTTATTTTGGGGGAGGGGAGGGGGGAAGATACCTAGTAAATCCGACTTTCCTGAACACAAAAAGGAAAGAAAAAACCAATGTCAGAGCTGCAGAAATTAAATAGGTGATAAAGCAAACTGATGGGCTAATTATTGTGTATATAAATCTGCAGGCAATGAAGCAGGTGAGGAAGGGATTCTATTGGAGTGGAAGGCAATGGATGCAAAGAGCAGATTTTTTATGGGATTGCATGCTAGAATGGACTTTGGTAATGGTGCTGATAGACTGGGCTCTTCAAATACTTCACTTCCTAGATTTAGGAAGTGTCTGTGGTGGCAGGTATCATTTCACTTTTAAAACGCAAAGTTGATTACTTTATCTTGACTCTAGAGTAGAAACAACACCTACAGATGACAACTTTGTATCATTGATTTCAGTATGAATTTCAGAACTTGGGGATATGTTATAGCATACCTTGTGCCTACCTCCATACAATAAATCTCAAACTAAAAAAAAAATTAAAACAGTACAAGATATTTTTAAAAATCTTTTGTTATACATAATCATATTATTTTGCTTTGTCTTACTTCTAAAGGACGAAGCATTATATCCTTATACATTCCAACTCTTTCCTCTGCATTTTCAAGAATGTCTTCAGGCCTCTGCACTAATCGATGCAAAAATTCTGACATTGTAAGTGGATCTTCTGCAGTCTGCAGAATGAAAAGTTAAATATTTCATGATACAGAAATAAAATAATGTACTAAGCTAATTTTTGTCTTTACTCAAAGGTAAATAAAGTAGCTTTCCAGAGTATTGCAATGAGTATTAGTCCACTGATTGCTGACTGTGATCCTATCCTGATGAAGTGTAATTTCTGCAAATTGAGAGGAATGTGCCTAGAACTTGCATTGGTATATCTAAGGTCAGCATTATAAACCAGAACAATTCAACCTGAATTAAAAATTAATAGCTTCATGAAAAAAAAAGAAAATGTATTTGTAGTAGTCTAACACCAAAACCAGAAAACAAGCTAGTATCCTGCAAATACTAGAAAAACTTGCTACAATAAACAGAAATTAATAATGCTTTTATTTGCTTAGACCCAGAAACAGACAATATAGTGTCACCATTCTCCTGATACACCCTTTTAACTTATGGCAAGAAACAGTTCAGTGACTTCTGAGTTAGAGACTGAATCCAGGTTAAGCTATACAATAATCACCATTTGCTGTCATTTAAACCTACCATTTAAGTATTATCCCACATCTCTTAAAGCAGAACAGAAACTGAATTAAAATTAAAGTTGAGCAAAATTAATTCATGATGTAGTATGGTGGTATTTTCGAATATTGGAATTTGTTCTGCTTTGTCTAGAGTACACTATAATACTTTGCAGTGTTTAGAAATTGGCAATATTTACCTCTTCTTCCTGCTCTTCATCTTCTTCTTCACTCTCTTCTTCATGCTGATCTTTCTCTTTCTTATGCTTTTCAATAACGTTAGGATCCCACTGGTTCCTCTGATATACCCGCCCAGAATCAGGGTGTTGCTTTTGTCCTGATATTCTTTGGCATAAGTCATAATCTGAACACTAGCAAGGAATAATTAAAAGGAAATCATGTGTTTATGTACTGCTATAATAATATTATTTTCCCTGAAACTGCAGAATGGAGGGTAGGAGTCTGTTTGGGAAATCTTTGGATTCATAAACTTCTCCAATAACATTCTGAGTAAACAAAATTTTCAAAAGCAGCAAATATTAAAGAAAGACTTAAACACCTGAATAGTTTTTACCCATCAGCATTTTACATTCCGTGTCAGGAGCGTAGCCACTACTTGAGCACATTTTACCATGCAAGTTATACCTTGTAGTATAAAGAGTATAGGTGTAGTTTATGGATAAAAGTGTTTTCCAGACAGGCTTGTGATTGCTCTTGCAATTAATGCCAAAGTGGTTTAAACTTGAGCAAGATCAAGTCAATTTTATTAGGTCCCTCTGACCTCTCAGAGCTCTACTATCACCCAAAAGCATAGTGCCACTGCATCAGAGGCTAAAGGAGTTCAGCAGTTTGGAGCTCTGGAAGAGTAAGCAATGGTCTTTCCATAAAAAGCCCTACAGACACAAATTTAGTTTAACATTAAACGCAGATAAGTCTGGATGTGGTCTGTGGTGGTGAAATTATTAATATTTAAGATTTGAGAGGTCTGCTGAAGAAGTTTACCCTAACTAAAACATTCCTAACTAAACATCCTAACTAAAACATTTACCCCAACTAAAACATTCCTTTCAACTAAAAGCTAACACTCTGTGACTCTTTCCACCTCCCCACTTCTGAGCTAAAATAATACTGGGTGTGCCACTCCTATAGGCTCCTCCTATAGAGCCTTCTTTCTACATTGCCACATTATGTACTGTTTGATTCCTTCTTAGAATTGTGGCTGTTAGCAAGCTACTAAAGGAGTCAATCCATTCCGGGGATGCATACCTGACTTTGTTAACATTGAAAGGATTGTTTTTCCTCACCTCTTTCTTTTTTTTTTTTTCCGAAACAAAAAGCTGGTTGAGTCTCTGTAATCACTTAACAGAGAACAGGGGAGCAGAGGGGGAGATGCTGTCTGAATGTTCGCTTACTATGATCATAGTTAATAAAGCTTCTGTCTGACCTGTCCTAAACTGTACTTGCATTAATACACACTTGGAGTCCCCTGATCTCCAAGAGGTCTTAAGATGGGTATCTTAAAATTCTACTATGGAATTGGGGGTGGGGCACAACAAAAAATAAATAATCATTCTTCCTTTCCAAATCACTAACACCTACCCTTCAAACATATATGAAAAACCTGAGATAACAAGAAAATATTGTAGCTGTTAAGGTCAAATTGTTACAGAAATGAAGAACTGATTTCTACAGAAAATACAGAGCTTTTGAGATCGCATTGCTAGCAACAGGCATACTACACTCACTTTCAGATCCCATTGCTAGCAATAGGCCCACTACACTCATTTCCTGAGGTATCCCTTGAAGTATTACAGTACTTCAGGATATTTCTATATTTCTGTGGTGAGTCATACAGCTGACATGACTGCTATATGACATAGCACATTTTGAAATAGGGAAGGAGAAATTTGATCAGATACGGTTCCTTTTTCAAAGATGCATTGTCTGCCCTTTTTCTTGGAGAGACAAAATTTCTCTAAATTGGTCTGCTAATAACAGTATTTCATTATTCCCAGAGCTATCTAGAGTCTCCCTTCTTCCTTTCTTTTTGATATAATGAAAATGGTTACAATTCTGACATATCTGTGAAAACAGCTTGAACCCACTGAAATCAAAAGCAAAATTATTCATTTGACTTTGGGGCAAGGATTCTTAATGAGCATTCAGTCTCAGTCTTCTTCCCAGAGGAGAAGATAATGTAACTACATGAAGTCAAGAATTATGTTTTCTTTTTAGTGTAGCTAGTATCACTCTTCTATTTCTACTGTTGCACATGAAACTATACAACATATATTCTCAAGAACTGGGATTTCTCAATCTCTGGCATTAAAACAAAGATTTTCTGTAGCTGAAAAAAAATCAAAACTGCCTGAAAAGCAGCACAAAAATATGTTTCTCTGATGTTTTAAGATCTTTCCATGAGCATAGAAAAAAAGGTTTGAAGTAGGCATTCACAAATTTTCATTATGCATGGTCAAACAAATTAGGTATCAAAAGTATGGAATTAAAACCAACACATACTTAAGTCTGGCAAAGTGATAGACTAGGTCCATGCACTGAAGCTTAGCATCTGACAAACCACACAGATATTACAACTGGAATCAAAGTCCCAATGAGAATGGAGCACAAGACCAGAGGCTGATTATTCAGAGTTGCCTTGGCAGTCATTCTGCACATTCAGAGTAAAAGATGGAAATAAACTAGTTGATAATAAATTGCAAGAGGAAGGGCCTGAACCCTTGTTCATGATTATATATACTGTTATTTTGTCCACATGGAGTCTGGCAAAGTTTGGTGTGGGCCAGCTACTATTCTCCCTGGTGAATAGCTGGGCACAATCTGGAGAATGGCACAGGCCTAGGGCCTTTCCTAGCAGGCAGTTTGGACACAGCCACCCCATTTTGACTAACAAGACAGGTGAGCTATGTTCTGCCAAAGCAGTTGGCCTGATATCTAAAGAGTCACTGTTGCCTTGTTTTATTTACTAATCTGGACATTAGACATCAGCCAGCAAGTCCATTCTTTTAAGTTCCTTTGAGAAAGTCCTCATAATCCTACACTAACAATGGTTTATGTTTCTCTAGTTATATCCAAGTCACTTTTGTAAAGTATCTGGTATGTCACATCACTACTCATGAAGAAATTGAGATTTGTAAATAAGATGAATTAATAATGACCAAGAAGCAGTTTCACAATTAGTGAGGAAAAAAATAAAATAAAATAAAATAAAATAAATAAACCAAAACAATTTGCTTTGTAACTTCCATATGTGAAAAGTTTCTTTCTGAAATACATGAATGGCAGGTGTACATGTATGCAAAATCCTGTAATAATCAAGTTATTCAAAGTTTTTTTTCTTGAAAACCTTTATCTTCTAATTCATAGAGGTGCTACTACACCTGCTACAGAACTGCTACTGAAGTTTTAGGAAATGTTCATTATTTTACATCAGCAATGCTTATAATGGAACAAACTAGTGCAATCACATCCCAATATAAAAGAGAAAAATTTATTATTCCTCAATAAATAGTATACTCAAATGCACAGGGGAAAATACTATCTTTTGACTTATGCAGCATATGAATCTATTGATTATAAAAATTACTAGCAAGTTACTGAAGATGACATTACCTTAATGTTAATCAGGAAATCCGGTTTTAATTTTAGATTCTTTATTTTCTCTATTTGCTGTGAAACAGACATGTATTCCTCTGAGAGAGAAGGAAATCCACTGAGAACATAACCTGCCGAATACATTTTATTAAATATATCTTTTAGAAGGTTATGTCAAATATAGGACTAGTCAGACTCATCTCCTTTAAACAATACATTTACTTAGTGGCACAATTTTAAACCACGTACATGATATAACACTGTTAAAAAAATTGTGCACTCTTGTCTACTTCAGATGAAATATAGACAAAAAAGTGTGTTGTTTTCAACTTGATATAGGACTCTCAAAGTTTATTAACTCAGTTAAGAAATTGTCCTGGTTTCAGCTGGGATAGAGTTAATTTTCCTTCTAGTAGCTGGTATAGTGCTATGTTTGGGGTTCAGTATGAGGATAATGCTGATAACACACTGATGTTTTCAGTTGTTGCTAAGTAGTGTTTAGACTAAGTCAAGGATTTTTCAGCTTCTCCTGCCCAGCCAGCAAGAAGGCTGGAGGGGCACAAGAAGCTGGGAGGGGACACAGGCAGGACAGCTGACCCAAACTGGCCAAAGGGGTATTCCAGACCATGGGACGTCCTGCCCAGTATATAAACTGGGGGGAGTTGGCTGGGGCAGGTGGATCGCTGCTCGGGAACTAACCTGGCATCGGTCAGCAAGTGGTAAGCAATTGCAGTGTGCATCACTTGTTTTGTATATTCCAATACTTTTATTATTGTCATTTTATTATTGTTATTATTATCATTATGAGTTTCTTCCTTTCTGTCCTGTTAAACTGTTCTTATCTCAATCCACAAGTTTTACTTTTTTTTTTCCTGATTCTCTGCCCCACCCCACTGGGTGTTTAGTTACTGGCTGGGGTTAAACCATAACAGAAATATAAGAAATACATAGACATTAAAGCTCATATTTGGACCACCTGCTTCACGTGCCTAGCTCAGACGTTGTAGTGCCTAAACAGTAACAAGTTTTTAGTGACCATTTTTGCCACTAAAAGACTTTGTAAAAGGCATTACAAAAAGTAGCCACTCTATGATACAAAGCATTTAAAGGAGGAGTCTAGGCTTTTTATACAACTTTTAAAGGGATTCGCTTCTATAGGCAATGAAGAGAGCCTGAACAACTCTCCGGGATACATAGTGCTCCTGGATGTTAAATCCTCTCAAAAGGACGCACTATGCACGCAGTATGTGTACTGAGGCACCCAACTTGGTAAGCATCTATTCCCTCAGGATTCACAATGTTGACTCCACTTTGGCAAACAGACACGGACTATACATGACAGGCATGGTGGTAATAATACCTTTTTCTGGTATTAGAGTGCTCAGCCCCACAGATGAGTGGGGCTTCATGTTCCTAGGAGAGTACTGTAACTACTATTGGCTGCACGCAGTGCAGTAAGAACTACTGTCTAGCAAGGAATTCAATATTCATGTGGCCAGAATGAGCAACTAAACAAGAATCAGGTGGATTTTTTTAGCCTAATAATGAGAATATTGCCTTAGAGAAATGGTGCATGCTCCAAATCCTTAGAATTTTATGTGATAACATTTAAATGCAAGTCTATGCAGCACAAAAACATTGCAGCAGTCTTTGCAGGAGGTATTAGGACTGAAGTCTCCTCCTTTGGGGAGCTACTATCCATAGATGCAAAATTTATAGAAGAGGATAAGCAAGAGAGAGCTTAATGTATAGTCATTCCTGTGGGAAATGAAAATCCTGGATTCTAATTTGTTGATGCCTTCAGAGAATTGTAATTGGTAGTGAGATGTGGGGAGTTGGCACAGCCTCTGCTTATCAACACATCCTGGACAGCAACAGCTGATGTGAGAGGGAGTGTCACATGGGAAAATATTACCCTGAACTGTTTGTTCTCTGAGAGGGTGTTTGCCCCCAAACCAATAATGTTGTGGGGAGACTAACAATGACAAAGTTTACCTAAGGCAACCATCAGATAGTAACCAGGGGATTACCATGAAACTTTTGAGGAGAGAAGGAACCACCTTGAAAAGAAGCATCAAAATTCATGACTGGGGGAAGAGACCTTAGAGTGAGAGCAAGGTAAAAGAACAGCAGCCTAACCAGGTCTGATGTGCCAGCACTGCAACCTTCTGTCTAGGCCTGGCAGAGCAGCCTCCCTGTTGGATGCTGCAAGCAACCTGTGTTTCTACTACTGGACTGACAGAACAGGGTTAAACTTAAACACAGTGACCCATACCTCGAGTGTGTGTAGGGGAGCTCATGGGGAGCTTTCTCACTGGTGTGTGCATTAGTAGACTGTAGGAAATGGCATAGACAGACAAAGCTAGAGCATGCACATTTCCAACAGAAAGGGTGCTTAAATAGCTGAACATGCATTCTCAGAAAAGGGAATGTATGCTTGTAACTTCCACCCATCTTTGAGAGAGAGTTTGCATGCATAACCAGGCAAGTTTGAGTATACTTTTTGGAATTAGTTTTAGGAAGGTGTTCAGAAATTTGTAGGTATGTATTAATATTTGGCAAGTGCCTAGTGCTGCGGCTTGTCTGTTGTGTAGCTGATACTGAACCTTTTCACTGATACCAGTTCACTGATTGTCAGTTACTTGCCATTAATAAATCAATAAACAACTTTGGTACTGATTTGATTTAAATCATGCTAATTGAGCAGTCTCCCCCCCGTGATAATGACATAGATTTTTCCTTTGCAAATATTATTTAGGCTAACATGATATGAACCTCTGGTTGTCTTCTTGTTCTATTAAAAAAAAAAATAATTACCAAGTATATCAGCTACATAGAGGTTATAATTCTGTATTTTCTTACCTATAATATCCTAAAATACAAGTATGCTTGTTATTTTCCAGTGCCTATGTTATTTTAAAAAGAGACACTGCTTATAGCAAAAAACAGCTTTAGAAGCTTTGTATCTGACCTCCCTCAGAAGTAAAAAAATAACCCAACCAAAACTCTGGTTTTAGTGACTTACAATTTTTAAATATTATCATTTGCTTTAGCACTTCTGAATATCTTTGACAAATCAGTCTCCAACATAATATGGGCTTATTATTAAAGTCAGAAAATATAATCGAAAAGAATTCCTTATTGTGTGTACTGTTTAGAAACTTGTATTTTGCACTGTTAAAAACAAACGTTAAAAGTAAAAAACTCAGCCTCTCATACAACACTGTTTCTAAAATCTTTAATGAATAATTAATAGCAAATTGACTGATTAGTTCCTGCTGAAAGCCTACTTAACCTTTCCAGGGATTATATTAAGATAATAGTTGCTAAACAAAAAGTTATTAGAACTAGAAAATACTTAACAAAAATCAGTTTTGGAGATGAGTTCTAGTTGGTAGGAAAAATAGTGAGGATGTAGGTTATTCTACACCTTGCTACCTTGGGGGATGTGTAATACAGATATTGGCTTGGCTACAAGAACCAAACTTTTACCAACTTTATAGTCATGTTTCCAGTCTCTAGGATCTCTGTGGTCCTCTGTCATATACACATCTTAGGCATTCATCATCAGACTGACTCAAAGAGGAGAACTCAGATGGCACAGATGTCTCTTCAGGCTTTTATTAAAGTCCTGACATATGGATTAAGAGACTGGCATTTCTGCTGCTACTTCTTCCCTCAAAGTTTTTGTTTCCTCATCATCTCCTTTTTTTAATTTCTTCACTATTTCTCTGTCTTTTGCCTACTGTTTTAAAAGCCTGGTTTCACCAGTTAAGGCTGCATCTTTTGCAAAACGGTTGACTAGAGAAGGGGCAAAACCCACGGAACTGAAAGCAACTGAAAGCTTATAGAAGCGTGCTAGTTTTCAGAGCAGTAGAAACTTAACATTTTCTTGGCACTATACCTGTCTCTCTCCTAGAGTGGGAATTTCAAATAAAATTCAGCACCAGAAAAAGAAACCACATTTTCTTTTACTTCCTTTCCACTTAGCACTATATTTGTTTTCTCTTCAGGAAAGCAGGTTCAGAATCCAGTAAGACCTGTAGCACTAGTCTTAATTGCCTCAGTTAACATAATCTTTCCTCAAAAAGAAGAATTATTCCCACTACCAATACTATTCTCATCTAACTTCTTCTCAGTGACAAAATGCAAAGGGAATAAACAATGTTGTAAGAAAAAAAAAAAGACCGTAATACTTTGCATTTTCAATAATCTGTTTTCCTTCTTTTTCATTATTTTAAACATTTAAAATATTTTTGCTGGTGTTTTTCTTTTTTTGTTGTTGTTGTTGTTATAGAAGTATTCAAACAAAAAAAAAATCTGCATTTTAAATCCTAAAGCTTTTCTAACCAGATTATATTGTCACATGAGAGTCATAGCAACACTTAAAATCTGGGGCAAATTAATTTTCTCAAAAATTAACACAACATAGGACTGGTATGACACATTCTGATCTTCCATATTGGTAAATTAATCCCTAAATACACTCTCGGTTTATGGATATTCCATAACCTGAGGAGCACAAGAAAAAGTGCTACTGTCTAATGCAAAATAAATTATATTTGAGCAGTAATGGAGGCAAAGTGTGTCAAAATTATAGCTAGCTCATCCTAAGAAGTTTAGGCTATAAATACTTACCAAAATGAGCAACTTCTGGTGACTCAATCTTTTGCAAAATCATTTCTGTAACCAGTTCTTCTGAAATACTTTGACCTTTAAAAAGCAATTCTTGACACTAAGGTAAAATGCAAAACATAGTCTTATATAATATGTATTTGTCAAGAATGTGACAAAACATACTAGAAGATTAGACCTTTACCTTAAGCCCATATTCTGTTTCTTCATGAATATTCATTTGAATTACTTCTAAAGCTGAGGAAGCACATCAGACAGAATAAAAATAATTAATAAAAAATATTTTATATACAGACATGTACATGCAGATACATACATACACACACACATAGGAATATGTATGTGTGTTCCATGCAACCAGACTATTTCTGAATGAGTAGCCATTATATTTAGGGTCTTTATTATATTTTGTCCATCCAGAACTTGGTGCCTTCCGACAACATCTGGGTAGATGTTTTTCCCTACAATTTAACCCTATAGATACTACAGAAAAATGCACAACAGCAGCTTTGCAAGGTTATTTCAACTACTAATTTATATCAAATTAGCATTACTGCTGTGTAATCCAGAGATGAGTATTTGAGCTCAAACACTTCCCAAATTTTAAAAGCAAGTTTTAGAAAAAGAACTGTTCAGACACACAAACCCATCTACTTTAAAAAAGCCCTTAAAAACCTACTCCTTATACAGTCCAGTTATCTAAAATTAAATACTAAATTTGACACCCATCAAATTCAAAGATCTGCCCTGTGTCTCTGTGGACAGTGACATCATACCAGAATGATCCTGGAATTCTTTCACACTTCCATACCATTGAAATAAGCAGACAATTAACGAAAGTTTTAACGAATGACCCTTAAGGCTACATCTATATTACTAATAAACCAGGCCAGGGAAAGATCCTGAAGCCAGGTGGCTTATGCCTATACAGCTAAAATCTTTCTTCTCGAAACATAGTGGCTGTTTTCAAACGGTTCCTATGAGTAATGACTGTTGCACATACTATCCTTCATACTATGAACGGATGTTCAGGAGAGCAGTATTTGCCGTGGGCCAAAACTGAGACAGGGAATGTACTAACAAACAACACAGACAACTGAAAATCAGCACTGTACATGTACCCTGGCCCTGTTTTATTTATGAGTATTGACGTATTAATTGGATAAATGGATAGGAAGTATTTTGTCAAATTGAAAAGACTGTGAACACCTTTCCTATTTAGTAATTCTCTATCTTGGATTGTTTTTTAAATAAATAACACAGTGCAGGACAGGTATTGATACACTGCAGCAAGTCCAGTGGAGGGCACCAAGATGATTCTAAGTGTTGAAAGTACCAGGAGAGGCCAAAAGAACTGGCCTTGTTCAGCCTGGAGAAAACAGGGCAGCTGTAATTGCTGTCTAAAACTACTTACTGGGAAGGCACAAAGACAGAACCACTGTCTTCACAGAAGTGCAGATAGGACAGCAAGCAACAGACACAAGTAAGAACAGGAGAAATTCCAATGGGGTAATTAGGAGGAATTTTTCATCATGAAGGTAGTCAAACATTGGAAAGTGTGGCCAGGGAGCTGGTGGAGTCTTCGTCCTTGGAGATACTCCAGATTCAAAACAGCCCTGAGCAACCTTCTTTAGTTGACCCTGCTTTGAGTGTGAGGTTGGTCTCAGTGACCTCTGGAGGTCCTTTCTGAGCTAAATTATTCATGTTTCTGTATGCTGAATTTGTTCCTTTCTTTTTTGATGTGGAAAATGAAAGAAAACCATTAGCAAAAGTTGAAGGAATGTGTGTATGTACACGTGTGTGGGTACACTAGACAAAAGGAGATTAAAAGAAATACCATGAGCAAAAGAAGAAAAGAATAATTCTTTGAATCTACTAGAAATAAGGCACAAAAATGCAAAAAGTGAGATTTACATCAGTCATTAAGAAAAACCTTCTAATGGCAAAGACTGTGTTACAGAGATAGACAGCCCAGAGATTTTTAAAAACAAAATTGACCGACATTTGTCAGTAATGGTTTAAATACATTCAAACAGTGTGGACTGGCTTAAGTACATTCCTAACATCCCTTCTGATTTTGGTTTGATCAATGTTTTGGGCCAGGTATTCATTTTTTGTTAGACAATCCTATGAATTAAAAGTTCTATATTTACATAAGGCAAAAAAGCACTGAATTTTACCATATTATAGTTCCAAATCTTCAAAATAAGATAAAGATACTTCATTTAATAAATAACCCTATATTCTCAGGAATATGAAGTGTTACACTGTCCACTAGAGAGCTTTTATTAGAGCAATAAAAAATACTAGGGGGCACATTTAAAAGAAAAAATGTAATGAAAATCAGTATATAAAGAGTTAGTTCATAATCAGAACAACTGTATACATATAATCCATAAAATCAGATTTATAATTTGGTGTCCCCAAAAAGGCACTCAAGAAATTGCTTCATAGTTAAGGTTATTATATGCTTTCTTTTCTTCTACTTAAAAAGATTATATTAGCCTTTAAACTGGTAGGACAAATTTGGTGGAAAAGTTTTCTTTTTTCAAAAAGCTTAAGTGAATGAATTCATGAATTATAATGTCATGGATACAAAAATATTACCAGGGCTTTAAAAAAAACCAACCAGATTTTAAAATATTTTTTTAGTTACTGCTGGCAAAATTAGTACAAAGGAAAACTGCCAGAGACTTAATTATTTTTTGTAGGAACCTAATTTCATGCTGAGATGCCTCAAAAATGAAAAAAAAAAAAAAAATCTCTAGCGATATGTTGATAGGGAATAAGATAATGTTACAAGCAACAGGTTTTACCCTACAGATCTTCAAAAGTCTTTGATGTGAGGGACTGTCAGAAATGGAGCTGGATAGCTTAGAAAATGAAATGATGTCTTGTGTTCTGGTAAATGCATGGTGGGAGAAATTAACTACACCTTCTGTAATAAGCCAATATTTTTGTTTTAGAAATTTGAAAGTGCCAGCTCCCATTTCTTCCATTATTACTTATACTGATACAAAAGTTACACTTCTGTTTCCTGGAGTACATCCCCCCTTGTATTAGACACTGCACAGACAGAAAGGAAAGATCTTCCTATTTTTTCATGGTCTGTATTGGAAAATCTCTGTGCTCTCTGGAGTTGAATGAGTTGCCTCCATGTGAACAAGAAGGGTCACATGAATTACGTTACAGGATTGGGAATAGAATTTGATTATTATGTGTTACATATATCCACTTCTGGGTTTAAAAAAAAAAAAAAAGTTATTTTCTAAGCCTCTCTATAACTAAAAGGCTATTTTTCAGCAATTGCATTTCTGGCAAAATGGTCCTTATCAGTAGTCTTCACTGCAATCAGAAACATGCCATTTTGAATTACAGGGAACAGCAAGTATATTTGAAACCAAACGATATTATGAAGCCAATGCAATGTTCCAAATATAGTGTATGTTTACCTTCTATGAAAATGCATTTCCATATTTCTGCTAGTTTTCTAGCTAATGTTTTCTTTCCAGAACCCTTAAAAGGAAAAATACACATTTAAAAGAAAAACAAGCAAAAGGAAAAAAAACCCAAACGTATTACATAATAAAGAATATATTTTCATATGATAAAAACAATTAAAAGCTACCATCAGGATTAGGTCCTCTGAGTTATGCAGTGTGCAAACACAAACACTCTTTTTAATACCATCCTCTATTTTATACTGCCTAGCATTGCTAATCACTGTTACTGCCCTTTGCAGTTAATCATCTCCAGAGTAATTATACTGACTTTGTTTCTGAGTAACTCTATCTAAAAGTCCACTATGATTTGCCCATAAATTCCTATGAGAAACTCTTTAGACTGAAATTTATTATCTTCAGTCTCAAAGCAAATTATGACGCAAACCTGTTCAGCTGTTTCTGAGTAAGATACATAGGGATAGTATTCTTTGACTAAAAAAACAAATACATAAAAATTGCCCTTGTTAGTCCACAAATCTGGTTTAGATACTGACAAAATGTTTATTTTATCACTTACATGAATCCTGAGGAACCAACATAACCAAGAGTAATGAGGCCTCTAAGAGCACAGATACCTGAATGGGATTTTGCAAAACTCACCATCTTCCACCCTCTAGGATTATGCCCTTTTTTCAAGGGCATACAAGACGACTTTTTTGACAGTCTGTTTGCCCTAGATAAATTTTGTGATTAAAAAATAGTAAAAAACAACAAATAAATCACATTCCCAGTTAACAGTGTACCAGCAAACACTCCAGACTACTCATACCTTACATTTTACAGGAGTGATGAGAATATATGTATTTTGCTTTGCTTTAATAGCACAATGTTTTTAACTTAAAAGATACGTCTTAAATAAGATAGATGCTCTACACATAAGCCATATAAATAAAAGATATTATCATAAAAATAGAATATTTAATTCCCTGCTCTCCTGACGAGGCCTGTGCAATTTCAACCCTTTGTTAAAATTTATATTAATATCAAAGCATCTACTGAAGGCAATGATTTCAGATGAGAATATATATTTATTATATGTTTTTTGCATTGTCCTTCACTGAGTATTTTATGCTGGTTTGGTCTATAAAAATGTAAAGTTTTCTTTCTCAAGTAAGGTTAGAAATTTGGTGTTTGTTTAAAACTAAGCGAGCCAGTCCACTGTGATTTTCTACTGAGCTGAATGCACTCTTTCAAGTCTCATGGTGACCATAAGGCACGCTTGTTGGCTATCACTTTATACAGTCTCACTGTGATGTTTGCAAGTCATCCACTTGCAGAACACCACCCTGCCTCCTTTCTCAGTTTGGTCAGACATAAGGATGTGCAGTCAAGCATTACCCAGCAACTGGAGCCAAGGAGTACAAAAGGATGCAGACCTGTGCAAACACTAGGGACTGGGAGCCTTCCAGCCTGCTGAAAGTCTCCGAAGAAAGGAAACATAGCCACATCTTAGCACTATGGCCATTTCCCATGATATAATCTGCCACCATCATGTAACTATGTGCTGGCATACTGCACTGCATAGGATGGTTCTACATTAGTATGGGGTGTGGTGCAGAGAGGGACTGGGGCTTGATTGGGTGGGTCAACTGGCATTGAAGTTTGGGCTGATTGCCAGCTCTAGGTGCACACCATTGGCCTCTCCACCTGCTAGGCAGTGCAAAGCAGATTTCCGTATGGTCATTTCAGGCTCTGTTGCGGTACCTAACAGAATCACACACAAACGCAGATGGCAAGCTGCTAGAGGACCTTATGTTCACACCGGTTGTGGGGTGCTCTGAAGGCAACTTTCATGGGCAACTGCAGTGTTCAAGAGGAAAGCAGCTTTCAGGGCACCAGTGCTGTGTTTAAGTGCATAGCAGATTCAGTATAGTCATAAGGCAAACATGCACCAAAAAAGAACCCCCTTCAGCAAACTAAGGCACTAATGTAAAACCACCCATAGAGTCTCCTGCATTTGGGAAAAAGAAATCTGAGAAGTCTAGGATTACAAAACATCAAATTTTCCTAAGTAAAGGAGGCCACAAATTATTTGAGAAAAGACAGACCTTAAATCATAGTTAAAATATAGTACAAATCTCCTTACCAGGACAACTTGGTGGATTTCCGTTATTCCCAAATATATGACATACAATTACGTCAAAGTTTGAATATTAAAGTTAAAATATCTAATATCTCATTGCATGTCTGTAAGTCAGTACATTAACCCGAAGGCTCTTTTGTGCCTATTTATGTCTTTAATCTGTCAAGTTTTTTTAAAGTTAGACTACTGAAATAACATAAAAACAATCCAGTTGCCAACGTGAAAAGAGAAGAAACTTTTCAAGCTACATGTGACTTTTAAGTACAGTAATAACACTTTTAATTGTAATTGACTGGTCACTCAGGCAAAAAATTGGCCTCATTATATGAGATCAGAATCTTTAACACACTCTGCAGGATTTCCAAAGTGGAAAAGATAAGAAAGTAGGTCTTTGATCTTTTTGGCAGCATCACTAAACTAATGTTTTGAAAGGAAAAGTAAAATTGTTAGCAGAATATCTGGAGAAAAAACCTTCTATCAGACATCTTACTGGCTTTCCAAGGATAATTAAGCAAGTGGGCTTGGATAACAGAAAGGATTTTTCAGCTTCATCTTCATCGAAGATATCTGCAAAGGGCTGAGCTTGTTTTTCCTCTTGTGAAGCCATATATGATCTAAGACTGGGAGAAAAAGAAAGCTTGTTATAAAATACAGTAACTTACATATCTCTAAAATGACACATACTTAAAAATGGAACTGAAAAATAATGTGATACAAGGCGAATTGCTTTGTAACAAAATTTCCTATAAGAAGAAAAAGCATTTAGAGAACATACTGCAATGCACTCATTACTAAGAGAAGAGCTGCTTCTGAAAAATAAGGGGTTGTTGGAACTACCCCCGATCCCCAGCTGCAGCTATATGGTTATTGATAATGACTTCTTCCTGACTCTCAAATTGCCTGTTGCTCTTTTTTAAACAGCATGTAGTTGTTTCATTGCCTTTTCCTTCCTGTTCCAATTACCACACAGTTGTAACTTCCCTGTGGTGCCTGAAATGGACCATGGCCCTGCTAAGACCTTTGCTTGTGAGCTTCAGACACAGAAGAGCCCAATCATGTTCAATGGAACTACTCGCTGTGTCCACAGCTAGGTACACAAGTAAGGCTTTGCAGAATTAAATCATGGTTCATGATCTGTTCTGTAATCCTCTCATAACTCCCAGCTCTTCCAGGACTGCACGAGATTGCACATCCAGTGCTATGCTACAAAGTAAAACAGAAGCAAGTTTCGAATTAAGGTAAGCTGGAGCAAAATTTGGGTGGGCCTTTCGAGCAAATGGGGTCCAAAACCGTGAGATTGATGAAGCATGGCTTCGAGAAAGCATACCTTTCGAGAAGCATTTTTTCGAGAAAACATTGCTTTCTTTAGAGGGCCACTTAAGTCTCAGCCCCCAGCGCACCCCATTTTCAAATTAAAAAAATTCTACTTCAGGATGAAAATCTGAAAAAATTTGTTTTGAAACATCAAACTGAAATGTTCTGACACTTTCAGAGTAAGACCTTCTGAGCGATAGGGACGGTATTTTAATCTTAAAAAACCCGCCATGCACAGACCAACCCTCCATTTCTCTCACGGAAACACACTAGCTGAACTTCACCTGACATTTCCAGCAGTTTCACTCCTTCCTGAACCTTCACAATTACGGCGCAATTTCCTAATTACAAAAACCACCCCAACCAAACTAAAGAAATAAACCAGACCCCCCCCCCCCCCCCCCC